TTCTATTGAGAAAACTAACGGCCAAATTTATAACAAAACAGTTTACGAAAAACACATATGACAGACATGAACCAACGACAACGACTGAACTACAGGTTCCTGATTTGGGACAGGCACATAAAGAATGTGGCGGGGTTAAACATGTTTGAAGGCGCCAACCCTCCCCCAACCTGAGACAGCGGTGTAACAAACAGTACAACATAAGACTAAACTATAAAGATTAGTTGAAAAGGGCTTAACTCATCAGATCGATACAAAGCAGAAAAAACATCTAACAAAAACACAGACCGGACGTGGGAGTGTATATTTATACATCCCTCACAACAACAAAAACACAAAGTACAGATCTGAGAGTACTCACTGCGAGCTACTGACAGCTACTGACAGCTATTTCAAAGCCAATAACAGTTTATAAAAATCATGTATCTAAGACACTGTGTGTCCTGGTCCCGCGTGTATCTTTGTCAAATGATTTCCCTTCTCCTGGACTGCGCTTGGTTTGTCTACCACTCATTGGTTAAGTCAAGAAAATTGTTGTGGCAAACTGACTTTGCATAACACTAATGTATAGATTTTTTTTTTAATTTTAGAGTAAACTGGCGTCAATGTCTCTTAAAAAAGCTTGTGATGCTGAAGGTCAATTTCAAAATGCGAATATTGAAGAAAACAGATACTACTATTATTGACAATATCTTGTAAAATGTATACAGTTTATGTTAATGCATCACAATACGGGGCCCCAGTAGAATACGCCCCTTAGATCGCGTTAAAAAATGCATCAGTTTTACTCACTTTTAAGCAAAAATAAGATATTTTTTTTTAAAGCCGCAGGTTGTTTTAAATGAGACGCAGAGTCGCCCACCTAATCCCTAAGTTGGCGGGTCGGATTTGGCCATATTGGAGCCACACAATATCCAATGTACAGAATAGATTCTGTAATTTTTTAAAGCAAATCATATTCAAACCCCGCCTAATTTGTTGAAAATAGATTGACGATAATCTGTATAAATGATTCCCTGTATAACATTCTGCATATATATACGCAATTAGAATTCTGTATAGTCTGTATTTGCATATGCAAAGAATTGCTATATACGTCATAATTCCGTATATACGGAATTCGAAGTCTATCCACACGGAAATAGTTCTGTATATCAGTTTTTGAATTCTGTAAAGTGGGTCTCATTGGGGTCTTAGCGTGACGCGGGATTGCTGATTTTTTGTAAGCGTGACACGTGAAAGTCAAATTATTGTGCCGTGAAAACGGGAAATGAAGTCTAGCGGGATACGGGAAATGAAAAAAAAAATGAGAATTGCTTACGTCACGTACATAGTGTAAGCGGGATACGGGAATCTGACAAAACAGAAAGCGGGATCCGAACCCCCCAATGAGACCCCCTGTAAATACATAAACGATTTCTGTATATACGAAAAGGCGCAAAAATACCTACTAGCCAATGCTCCGTGTTGAAGGCCGTACCTTGACCTATAATCGTTTACTTTTATAAATTGTAACTTGGATGGAGAGTTGTCTCATTGGCACTCATACCACATCTTCCTATATCTATTGAATAATATACCTCTATACACAAATTTTAACTACGTAAATACAGATTTCGAATTAAGTATATAAAAAGTATTCAAACTAACTATATAATATATACGGAATTATTTCTGTACATATGTAATAAGAGAGACATATATATACACATACGTTATTATACAGACAGACATAATTGTTTTACCCTGATACCGCGCAATAATCATTTCTAAGTGTCGGACTAATGAGGGGCCTGATTGGGGGGGGGGGGGGGGTCTCACCACGATTCACGAGTTGATTTTTTTGTCAATCACGATTCACAGAAAATAAATTTCCATGATCACGGATCACGAAAATATAAAAAAAAAAAATCTGAAGAAAAACGGATCGCGATAGCGAAAATGCGCCGATCACGAAGAACGAAAATAACCCACCAGGCCCCTCACTAATGGGTTTTCGGACCAATGGGCTGTCGGAACAGTGGGCCGTCGGACTAATGTCGTGTAATTTATTAGGTGTTTTGTTATGACATGTTCCATTAGTTTGCAACTGATACAAGTGAGAGAGACTGTTCTGAAATTAACTGCGTTGTATTTTTCACCTTTTGTGTATGCTGGTGCGACATTTGCATGTTTCCAATCAGATGGTACAGCCAGTTGTTACGGAGTGATTTCTGGAAAATGATAGTAATCAATTACAGACGGACGGACGGACAACGGTATAATACGTCCCGTAAACGGGCGTATTAAAACAACACGACCACCCTTAAAAATGTGGACGAACTCGGGACCTCCGGAAGGGTAGACATAGTTGCTCCACTTGGTACAGCCAAAAGTAGGTCAATTTGAACTAATACTCTAGTTCAGGGAAACAATGCGCATGTGCAAGATCGATCGTGATTTTGCGTTATCGACTGATTAGATACGAGATTTGATGAACTGGGGGCATTATCAGTTTCTGGATTTATAAGATCGGCATTGTTATTACTGTTACCAGATTATTTATAAAAAGTGGTTGATTACACCATGGAAGTATTATATTGTCAATATAATACTTTCATGATTACACTGACAGATTAAAACAGACTATTTTGACTGTTATATGATAATTAATCTTAATTACAAAAGAAACGGTTTGATATGTCACCTGACTTTGCGTGTCACCTTCACGCAAAAATGGACAGATTCATGCTGTGATGTTCACTTAGCAGATATATTCAACAAGTTACGGGTGCTATTTCATTACCATATCTTAGGTCATAAAAATAAAAGTCAATCAACACCTAGGCCATATGGTATCATGAAGTTTTACCTTAAACTATGTATCTCACCAGGCGACAGTTAGACAAAATTAATATACCCTTAATAATTATAATTATGTTCTGACAGTTACCGTTAAAACATATGTTCAAAATACTAGCTTTGATTGCATGCGTGTATTAAATTTACATAAAGGTATCGTGCTTAATTCAAATGCATCAGATATTGACAATTTTGAAAGGAGGGATCTGGGTCGTTCAGCATTTTATCTTGTCTTATCGTGAAGCATACATAATATAGTATGCAGAATATCTAATTAATTTCAATGAGATTTTATAAGATCTTAAACAGAATAAAAGATACTTTATATATTTTTTTATATCTTCAGAAAGTAAATTTTCACACATATATATAGTTTGGCATTTGATTACATACTTTGAATGAACAGTTCTGTTGTATATTTATTTTTGTGTCAGAAAATTCACGTTAATAGGTAGAAAAATGATAATAAATGTGAAAAAAAACATTGTTATATTACAATTAATTTAGAAAAAAGTACCCCCCCCCCCCTAGACAAAAAAAAACAATGATTGTCGTCTTGTCGAAAGCAAGGAGATCTTCAAGATTTATGAGTGAAATAACTGCCTACTTGGATCTTTTGACATACTTCTTTGTTTTTGACAAGCTTGAGAAATTTATTTCGCGAAAGCGAGACTTGGCGATCCTAGATTCCGTCGTCAGCGGTAACGCCGGCTGCGTCAGCATTTAGGTTCAGTCTGTGGTTAAAGTTTTGTTTAACATCAAAATCTTTGTCAAACATAATGGAATTTCGGGAAATTGGAACAGAAGCTTCTTAATGACCAAAATACAGTATCCAGGACAAAATTTTGCAAATATTTATTTTCATTTTTCCGTATTTTATTACTAAATGGACTTCGTTTTTCCTTAACAGTTAAATTCAGGTTTTGTCTAAGGTTAAAGTTTTTCATGCAGTCATCAATAACCGTTTTGTTTAATCGTCCAGTTGCAAGTTAAATGCATATCCATGCAGGTCAAGATCATGATAATGATATATGAATGTTGAAACTGTTTTGTTCTACATTGCGCTGGACTTTTCACTTGTTTGTTCAAAATGCAACAGTCCGAGTAAAGACATTGTATAGCTTATTAGTGGGTGTGGCTTTTTTCTAAGAGTTATTAAAATTCCATACGACGAACTGTACATAGCTGTTTGTTTTTATGGGAACTTTTTTATTATGGGTTGAACAAGGAACGTATATACTATTCCAAGGTTAAACGATCAGACTATTTATACAATATTGAAAACATAACATTTATGAAGCCATGGTTATAGTTTATTGAATACTTCGCATAATATCATTCATGATATCGACTAGCTTTGTGTTATGACAAGAAACAACTTTTCAAAAAGCTCCGTTTTACATGACAATCATATGGTTTAAACTGTTTATTTTTATCCGACCGACACAAGCCAAAGAGAATAAATTATGCAGTGTCACCGTTGAATGATATACTGTTTTGGCAATTAATGCCATTACGTCAGCATGTATCAGGAAATTATTCTCAATCTCCAAAGATAATATTTCTGCACATAAACTTCCTCGAAGTTCTTGGAAGCTTCCAGGGACTTGTAGACCCTCGTTCCTTCTTTATCAAACATTTCGCTTTGGTTATTTGCAAGGTAAATTTCAAGTTTCCTTCAAATTTCGTTCCCAGTTTTCTCCCGTTATTTTCAAACACTAGGTCTCGAAATTCTACACAATATTTTTTTTTACTTTAATAAACATAAACATAAACCAAAAAACAGATGACACTTCAACGACTTCACATGTAAACGGGAAAGCGGCGGGCATCCTTAACATCGAATATTGATTTGGACCAAATGACTTTGCCCCCAGTTCATCCAAATCTCGCATATTCTCGCATGAATTTTAATTAAACGCTTGACCCACTCAGAATTCTAGGTCGCGAACACGCTTTCCCTGAACTAGAGTATTAACTTTCCATGCTTTTCTAAAATAGGTCCAAGTTAAACCTCTGAAATTTAAATTATATAATAGAACAGCTCAGTGTTTACTTTCTTAAAGTATGAGTACACAAATTGATTTTTTTTTTAATAATTAGTTTTTATTAAACATAAACTTAACACTTCATTGGAGAATCATCTGACGTCACAATCACCATAGTTGTTTACAAAGCTTCAAAATGGCGTCTTGACGGGCACCTGCCAAATCACTATTTAGCTAATGTGAGTTAAGGTGGCGATACTGTAACCTTCTCATTGATTTACCGTTGTATTAAAGCCAGTATTGGTATCGACAACGTATTCATACAGATACAGATTTAAGACATAGATGGGTGTAAAATGTATATTTCCTCTACGCTGTAGTACCATGACAGCAGAGATATTCAAAGTTTTAACACTATTTGAATATTTATTTAAACATCCCAGTTGCTCTCCTTTCAGTGTCAAGAAAACGCGATCGGTCCATGCACTGTGTAACCATACAGATACCAGATGCGGATCCATTATTTTGAAGAGGGGGGGGGCAAATTAGGCATCTTTAACCAAGAACAAGTATATGTAGCTCTATAAAGGGGGTTGCCCCCTGGGCCATCCCTTAATCAGCCTCTGGATATATTAAAATTTCTATCAAATCACGGAATTCTATCAATAAAATTCTGTAAATAATAAAGTCGACTATCAATAGAGCTTCTCTACGAATTTCCGATTCCTGTGATCAAATTCATTCAAAATTGCAAAATTGTAGTTAACAGGTTCTTTATATCTGCAGTTTGGGCTAATATAGCTCGATTTCGAATGGGAACCCAATTAAATGTAGCACTAATCATACTTATATAGCTGTATTTACACTTGACTGTATGCAAATTTTTGCACCATTAAAGTAAAACAATTTACATCATAATTAAAAAGGCACTGTCTACAATTACATTGAAAACATAACAATAACAAAAAAGTTATTGTTACGTTGGACACCAATTGCCAGAATGCTAGGTTGGGTTAGGAACTGATTAATTACGAAAGTAGCAATAATATTTGTGTCTACAGTTACGTTGTGTTATTGTTACGTTAATGCATTTTAGCATATGCTGGGAATAAAAATATATATTGTATATTCCATATGTATGTAATATCACATGAATATATAATGTAATGGAAATAACTTCGTCCATTTTTCAAAGTATAATACGAATACATGTGACAGAGTTGCCTTGTCACAACTGAAGATTTGAACATTTTCAGCTGGAGTTTGGGCCTCAAAACTGGAGAATTTTTATTGACATTTTCCATTGTTCAAGTTAATTGTCATGATAGTTTAACTACACATTCCCCATTTTTGTAAGATTACAGCATAACTATTAATGTACTAGTATTCTCTTAACAAGATAACATTTTATTGCAGAACTTTTACATTTGTCAAATTGAGATTATAATGATTCCATATAAACTTGATAAATTTGAACTAAAATTGTTTTATAAAAATATTCTTCTGTCGTCATACAAACAGGTAAAAGCTGTGGGAACAATGTGATGCTGCTGTACTGTGTAGTTTTCACTGTAATTTGATTCCCATGCGTTATATGAAAGAAATATCTATAAAGGTGATTGAGAGAGCTGTTTAAAATATATTACTATAGTGAGTTGTCTACTGAATTTGCTGGTAATAATCTTCTTGATTTATGACACAAATCAATATTAATTAGGTTCAATAAGGGAATGACATCAATTGTATAACACAAATTGACATTGACAAAATTTTCAGAATTGAATTTTTGAAAAAGCGGAAGATTTAAATTCTTAACGGGACGAACGGAAGAGGGCTTAAATATCAGGAGATTTTGACTCCCACCGGAAGAATCACATGTATGATAATGATAGTAATAATGGTAAATGTGATGTTAAATAGAAGTGAATACTTTCTTCTAAACATCGAACCAATGAACTATATTCGTACTGTGACCTATAATGGTTTACTTTTATAAATTTTGACTTGGATGGAGAGTTGTCTCATTGGCACTCATACCACATCTTCTTATATCTATTTTCTCCTTTTGCACTACTAATCGGTAGTATTATCTTGAAGAACATTAAAACAATTAAACTTTAAAAACTATTTAAACATTATTTGTTGTTATCAAGTATATCAGAGAATTCAGCAACAAAACTAAAATCAATTAAAATTTAAATAAATCTAATGTAACAATAATGCAATGTAACTGTAGACACAAATATTATTGTTATGTTCGTAATTATTCGATTCCTAACCCAATCTAGCATTTCAACAATTAGTGTCCAACGTAACAATATTTTTTTTAATTATTGTTACGTTTCAACGTAATTGTAGCCAGTGCTAATTGAAAAATGATCGTTACATGATGCAAGAAGGTTATTCAGAGACAGATCTAGGATCTTTCAGAGCAAATTCAGCTAAATACCCAAAAGTGTAAATACTTCATTTGTGAAAATACATGGATGGTACATGTACCAGCTGGAATTGAACACTCAATCTCAAGACTTAAAGGCAGCACTCTAATCTACTGAGCCAAAGAACATCTTCCAAAATTTAACCAGTTAGACTACCTTTGTATATCAAGTGGTACAAAACCCTAAAATGAAGTTTTTTTGTCGAAAACAGGGAAAATTGATAATAAAGACTATAATATTGGGAAATATATCATTTTGACACAATTCAAAAGTTATTTAACATCAGAGCTACAATTTTTGTTTCTTAAATGCAAGTTGACCTTGTGTTACAATATGGTAGACATAATTATGATAAGAGTTATCCAACTTTTGCATAATCATGTCTTCATATTGTTACACATGCTTCCTAGGTCATCTTAGGTCAATGGTTATGATCCAGTCCTCTCCTTTTCACCCAAGACAGAATAATATGGTCAGATATATCGAAAAATAATTCTTTTTTATTTAGAGACATAAGTCCTGCTGGTCAGGAACTTGGTAAAATGGCAACAAAAGAAAAGATCAAGAAAAAAGCACCACCTGCTCCTGAAGGTATAAAATTTGTTTCAGCATTCTACTTTTAAATAAAAGTTTAAATGATTATGAATAAAAGGAGATTTGGGGTATACATAAATGAGAGATAGCAACCAAAAAACACAAAAACTGAAGGATATAACTTAAGTCTTCGATTATATCATAAGGTCTATCATAATAGACACTGTACTCGAAGACAGTAAATGTGATAATTTATTGAAAAAGATAAACAAACATGTACATGTACTGCATAGAATGAACATAACAAAGTGAAGGTTTTAAAAATTGTAAAAGTGCTTTTAATGAATTCTTTATAAAATTGTATCTATAATTAAAAAACAAAGGATATGGGGTATCCATCCATGACACAAAATCGGTATATGCACAGCAAAAAAAACACAAAAATCAAATGAACAGCTCTTTATTGCTGTTCTACATCTCAAAGTCACATTGAGGCCTAAAACACTGAGCAAAAAAAAAACTCACCTCACTGTAAGTTTGAGCAGAATTCTATGCGAAATGATTGGGATACACTTTGTAAGCTGTATCGCCACCATATCAGGCCTGGTAAAAAAAGAACATACTGGAAAATAATACATATTTAAAACAAAATATGTACATTTGTAAGTACTAAAGTATCTTAGTAGCTGTATTTTCCAAAATGTCAGGGAAACCATAGAAAATGGAATTCATTCTTTTGTACCTGTTTTCCTCGCATTTTTATTGTATAATTATGCTTAGAACAGCTGTAAATTTACATTGTTATGTATAGAATATAGTTTAAATATTTGAAATATTACAGCAGTAGAAAGACCCAGTAGTGCACACAGTCAAATCAGTGTTAAATCTGCCGAAGTTACAAATATTACAGACAATACACAGAAAGAAAAGGTAAATATCTTGTCACTACTTATATATGTTATTGGCGGGGCGGTAGGACCTTTTTCGTGATGTTGGAATTGGGCCTTTATTTTTGCGGGAATTCGGGATCAGGACTAAATTTTTGTGGGAATTTGGGATTCACACCTATTGGACTCGGGAATAAATGATTAAATTTTAAGGGTTTTGGTAAAGAATACTTTATATTTTTCTCGAATTCGGGATGACACCCCCTCCTACCACCCCTCTTATTGTCTTTGAAAGGGATAAATATCAAAAACCTTGAATATGATCCAGGCATGGGGTTAACGCAAATATGCAATTGTAATGCATGGTAATGCATTACATTTTTCCAAGTAATTGCATGTAATGTGTAATGCAGCAATTTTTGCATTACCATGTAATTGTAATTTAATGCATTACTATAGCAAAAAATTGTGTAATTTCATGCATTACATTGCATTACATGGCATTACTTTTTTCACATACTATATATCTTTAACAGATTGTTGGAGATTAAACTAAAGCAGAATTTTTTTGATTAACTAAGAACATAATCATTTAAATATTGATTTTCTATTTTATTTATTTTTTCACACTTTACATAAATCACTAGAGGGACTTTGGTGATTAAGCCTTGCCCCAGGTAGAACTTGAAAAGAAAAAAAATAAAGTGGTATAAATACTAGAATGACCAAATTACAATTGAATGAATAACACAACACTGTGTATCAGATAGAGTTTTTTTTTAATTATTACATTTTATTTTATACATTTACCTGCATAAAAAGATTGATATTTGAAAAGCATTACTGTAAAAGTGTTCCATTTTTGTCAAAAGATCACATGATTAAATGACAGATAATTGAACATTGTCATAAAACACTAATTTGTTTGTTTTACAATCAATCTTTTCACCATTTTGACACTTGGTCATAAATTAAGCTCTATGTTTATTATATAATCAGGAAAGAAATTCTCAGTAAATATTTTGATTGAAATTAAAAAAACAAAAAACAATGCATATTTATAAAAGTTAAAATAAGTATTAAACTTCATTTCTGTAATTTCTTTTTTGAAAAAACACAGAGCTGTATACCTTTAAACATTAAAACCAAAGATAGAATAGCAATCTACTTTGATAGTTTTTGTGGAACAGTCGGGTAGTCAGAAATATTATTCGAAACCCTTATGATGTTAAAATGTAATAGTCGTATTGAATAGACTTTTTACATGTATACTTAAATTCAATACATGTAACAGTTACCATGGTTACTGCATATGCTAGAATCTTTTGTGACTTCATGTTGTTTTTCAAAATGTTTGAATTTTCTTTTCACTTGATAATAAAATTTACAAATGTAATGTGTAATTCAATGCATTACTTTGCAAAAGTAATTGTAATATAATGCATTACTTTGATAAATGCATGTAATTGTAATTGTAATTTAATGCATGGTCTTGTCAAAGTAATTGTAATATAATGCATTACATTACAATGTAATTCGCCCCATGCCTGATATGATCATGATGAAAACTGCAAATGCTATAACATAAAAAAGATCTGATGTATTACTGAATTTTTTTTTGGTGAAAGTTTTGTAGATTGAAGAAATTTCAGAATTCTATTTTCATAGATTTTGCGATTTTGACAAATTCTGCATACAATCGTGAATGAAATTTGAGTTTTGTTAAACACCTGAATACTTGGAATACCTACACTAACAAAATTAATAAAAATGAGTACCCTCGAATAATAATGAATTCACCGTTTCCTATTTAGTTTTTCAAAATAAAGAAAATAACTATATCTGAACCAAACCTTTGGTCTTAATAGATATCTCTAGTCAAGTAATGAGTTATAATTTTATTCACAGTTCATACAAGATGAAACTGCCCATGAAAAAGAAGCAGGAGGAAATAAAAGTAACACAACACCAAACCCTTCTGCTAAAAATAATGAACCAGTTAAGAAGAAAAAGGCAGACACTGATGATAAAAAGAAAAAGAAAACAGAAGATGGACCAGAAAAGAAAAAGAAAACTGAAGATGAAAAGAAGAAAAAAGGAAAGAAAACAGCTGTTGAACCTTCACCTTCTGCTGGACCAACACCATCTCAGTCTGCAACTTATCCAAGGGACCCAACTGGCAGTGCTGTATCACTGAGGTCTAATGCTTCAACAGTTAAAGGTTGATATATAGAACATTTATTTTTAAACATTTAAAGTATTGTTTCTATAGATATTTTAAGATGAACATTTCAGATACTTATAATGATGTAGTCATGAAATGTTGGTGAAAGTGTATAGAAACAACTAATCTTATTGTTTATGTGTTGAAACATCAGAAATGATATTAAATTCAAATACATGTTACTGGAAAATGTATTTCAGTTAGGTTAAACTTATTGCTTTTTATACGACCGCAAAAATTAAAAATTTTTTGGTCGTATATTGGTATGATGTTGGCCTCGTCGTCGTCCGGCGTCGTCCGAAGACACATTGGTTTTCGCACTCTAACTTTAGTTTAAGTGAATGGATCTCCATGAAATTTCACCATAAGGTTCAATACCACGAAAGGAAGGTTGGGATTGATTTTGGGGGTTATGGTACTAACAGTTAAGGAATTAGGGGCCAAAAATAAGCATTTTTGTAACTTTCAGACAATAACTTGTGTGTAAGTGTATGGATCTCTCTGACATTGTACCACAAGGTTCCATATCACAAAGGGAAGGCTGTAATTGATTTTGGGGGTAATTGCCTCAAAATTTTAGGAATTAGGGGCTAAAAAAGGGGCAAAAAACAAGCATTTTTCTAGTTTCATGACAATAACTTGTGTGTAAGTGTTTGGATATTTCTGAAATTGTACTACAAGGTTCCATATCAAAAGAGAAAGCTGGAATTGAGTTTGGGGGTAATTGCCCGAAATGTTTAGGAATTGGGGGCCAAAAAGGGGCCAAAAATAAGCATTTTACTAGTTTCCAGACAATAACTTGTGTTCAAGTGTATGGATCTCTCTGAAACTGTACTGCAAGGTACCATACCACAAAGGGAAGGCTGGGATTGAGTTTGGGGGTGATGAATCATAAGGGGGTTCAAAAAATTTGGGGGGGGGGGGGGGGTTTTTTTTTTCTTTTTTTCCTTTTTTTTTTTCTTTTAAAATTTTCCATTTTAAGTTGGTTATTTCTGATTTATATTTAAAAGCAAATAATAATGATATGGTAGGAGATACACACCAAACAGGATGTGTAAATTATTATATAATAAGTATTGTGCAATAGCAAGAAATTTTCAATTGCACAGTATTGCACAATAGCAAGAAATCTTCAATTGCACAGTATTGCGCAATAGCAAGAAATCTTCAATTGCACAGTATTGCGCAATAGCAAGAAATATCCAATAGCACAATATTGCGCAATAGCAAGAAATTATCAATTGTACAGTATTGCGCAATAGCAAGAAATATTCAATTGCACAGTATTGTGCAAAAGAAGATACTTCGTATAAATTGCTTATTTCTTGATCAATTTCAATGGGGTTTTATTCTTGAATTCTTGGGGTTCTTTAATGTGCTGAATCTAACCGTGTATTAAGTTTTTGGATTTTGGGCCCCGTTTTTAAATTGGTCCACATTGAGGTCCAAAGGGTCCAAAATTTAACTTTGTTTGATTTCATCAAAAATTGAATTATTGGGGTTCTTTGATATGCCAAATCTAACCGTGTATTTAGATTTTTAATTTTGGGTCCCGTTTTTATACGACCGCAAAAAAATTTTTGTGGTCGTATATTGGTATGACGTTGGCGTCGTCGTCCGGCGTCGTCCGAAGACACATTGGTTTTCGCACTCTAACTTTAGTTTAAGTGAATGGATCTCTATGACATTGTACCACAAGGTTCAATACCACAAAAGGAAGGTTGGGATTGATTTTGGGGGTTATGGTACTAACAGTAAAGGAATTAGGGGCCAAAAAGGGGCCAAAAATAAGCATTTTTGTAACTTCCAGACATAACTTGTGTGTTAGTGTATGGATCTCTCTGACATTGTACCACAAGGTTCCATATCACAAAAGGAATGCTGGGATTGATTTTGGGGGTAATTGCCTCAACATTTTAGGAATTAGGGGCCAAAAAAGGGGCAAAAAACAAGCATTTTTCTAGTTTCATGACAATAACTTGTGTGTAAGTATATGGATCTTTCTGAAATTGTACTACAAGGTTCCATATCACAAAAGGAAAGCTGGAATTGAGTTTGGGGGTAATTGCCGAAAAGTTTAGGAATTGGGGGCCAAAAAGGGGCCAAAAATAAGCATTTTTCTAGTTTCAGGACAATAACTTGTGTGTAAGTGTATGGATCTTTCTGAAATTGTACTACAAGGTTCCATATCACAAAGGGAAAGCTGGGTTTGAGTTTGGGGGTAATTGCCCTAAATGTTCAGGAATTTGGGGCCAAAAAGGGCCCAAAAAACACATTTTTCTAAATTCCAGACAATAACTTGTGTTCAAGTGTATGGATCTCTCTGAAATTGTACTGCAAGGTACCATACCACAAAGGGAAGGCTGGAATTGAGTTTGGGGTGATGAATCATAAGGGGGTTCAAAAAATTTGGGGGGGGATTTTTTTTTTTCCTTTTTTTTCTTTTCTTCCTTTTTTTTTTACTTTTAAAATTTTCCTTTAAAGTTGGTTATTTCTGATTTATATTTAAAAGCAAATAATAATAATATGGTAGGAGATACACACCAAACAGGATGTGTAAATTATTATATAGTAAGTATTGTGCAATAGCAAGAAATTTTCAATTGCACAGTATTGCACAATAGCAAGAAATCTTCAATTGCACAGTATTGCGCAATAGCAAGAAATTTTCAATTGCACAGTATTGCGCAATAGCAAGAAATATTCAATAGCACAATATTGCGCAATAGCAAGAAATTGTCAATTGTACAGTATTGCGCAATAGCAAGAAATATTTAATTGCACAGTATTGTGCAAAAGAACTTCGTATAATTGCTTATTTCTTGACCAATTTCAATGGGGTTTTATTCTTGAATTCTTGGGGTTCTATAATATGCTGAATCTAACCGTGTATTTAGTTTTTGGATTTTGGGCCCTGTTTTTAAATTGGTCCACATTGAGGTCCAAAGGGTCCAAAATTAAACTTTGTTTGATTTCATCAAAAATTGAATTATTGGGGTTCTTTGATATGCCGAATCTAACCGTGTATTTAGATTCTTAATTTTTGGTTCCATTTTCAAATTGGTCTACATTAAGGTCCAAAGGGTCCAAAATTAAACTTAGTTTGATTTTAACAAAAATTGAATTCTTAGGGTTCTTTGATATGCTGAATCTAAACGTGTATTTAGATTTTTGATTATGGGCCCAGTTTTCAAGTTGGTCCAAATCGGGGTCCAAAATTAAACTTTGTTTGATTTCAACAAAAATTGAATATATGGGGTTGTTTGATATGCTGAATCTAACCATGTATTTAGATTTTTGATTTTTGGGCCCCGTTTTCAACTTTGTCCACATTGAGGTCAAAAGGGTCCAAAATTAAACTTTGTTTGATTTCATCAAAAATTGAATTCTTGAGGTTCTTTGATATGCTGAATCTAACCATGTATTTAGATTTTGGATATTGGACCATAATAGTTGAATGTCCAATTTAAAAGTTTTAAGTTCTTAGACCACATTCATTCTGTGTCAAAAACCTATGCTGTGTCAAATATTTAATCACAATCCAAATGCAAAGCTGTATCAAGCTTGAATGTTGTGTCCATTATTGGCCCAACTGTTCAGGGTTCGACCTCTGCGGTCGTATCAAGCTGCGCCCTGCGGAGCATTTTATTTAAATTGGTCTACATTAAGGTCCAAAGGGTCCAAAATTAAACTTAGTTTGATTTTAACAAAAATTGAATTCTTGGGGTTCTTTGATATGCTGAATCTAAACATGTGTTTAGATTTTTGATTATGGGCCCAGTTTTCAAGTTGGTCCAAGTTGGGGTCCAAAATTAAACTTTGTTTGATTTCAACAAAAATTGAATATATGGGGTTCTTTGATATGCTGAATCTTACCATGTATTTAGATATTTTATTTGTGGGCCCGCTATCAAATTGGTTCATATTGAGGTCAAAAGGGTCCAAATTAAACTTTGTTTGATTTCATCAAAAATTGAATTATTGGGGTTCTTTGATATGCCAAATCTAACCGTGTATTTAGATTTTTAATTTTGGGTCCTGTTTTTTAAATTGGTCTACATTAAGGTCCAAAGGGTCCAAAATTAAACTTAGTTTGATTTAAACAAAAATTGAATTTTTTGGGTTCTTTGATATGCTGAATCTAAACATGTGTTTAGATTTTTGATTATGGGACCAGTTTTCAAGTTGGTCCAAGTTGGGGTCCAAAATTAAACTTTGTTTGATTTCAACAAAAATTGAATATATGAGGTTCTTTGATATGCTGAATCTAAACATGTATTTAGATTTTAGATTTTTGGCCCAGTTTTCAAGTTGGTCCAAATTGGGGTCCAAAATTAAACTTTGTTTGATTTCAACAAAAAATTGAATATATGGGGTTCTTTGATATGCTGAATCTTACCATGTATTTAGATTTTTTATTTGTGGGCCCGCTATCAAATTGGTTCATATTGAGGTCAAAAAGGTCCAAAATTAAACTTTGTTTGATTTCATCAAAAATTGAATTATTGGGGTTCTTTGATATGCCAAATCTAACCGTGATTTTAGATTTTTAATTTTGGGTCCCGTTTTTTAAATTTGTCTACATTAAGGTCCAAAGGGTCCAAAATTAAACTTAGTTTGATTTTAACAAAAAATGAATTCTTTGGGTACTTTGATATGCTGAATCTAAACATGTGTTTAGATTTTTGATTATGGGACCAGTTTTCAAGTTTGTCCAAGTTGGGGTCCAAAATTAAACTTTGTTTGATTTCAACAAAAATTGAATATATGGGGTTCTTTGATATGCTGAATCTAACCATGTATTTTGATTTTGGACATTGGACCATAATAGGTAAATTAAAAAAATTGAAGTTCTTAGACCACATTCTTTCTGTGTCAGAAACCTATGCTGTGTCAAATATTTAATCACAATCCAAATTCAGAGCTGTATCAAGCTTGAATGTTGTGTCCATACTTGCCCCAACTGTTCAGGGTTCGACCTCTGCGGTCGTATCAAGCTGCGCCCAGCGAAGCATTTTATTATAATATCTCAAAACTTTTAATGTTTCTGTGAAATCAATATTCAACATGCTCAGACAAAAAATGTTAGCATTAATTTGAGAAAAACAGTAAAATAATGCTGTAAGTGTGGTCATCTTGTCAATTGAATTTGTTTTATACATTATATGATATGTTTGTTATTTTCAGAGGCTTGGACAGACAACAGTGCAAGTGGATCACAAGCAGACTTAAATCCAGGTATGTTCCTTTTAACTGTTGCAGTTTCATGCAGTATAAAGACTAGGTGTTTAGGTGTTTCAAATAGAAATTAGGTCTAAATTCTGTTTACTGTATAACATTTGTAGATTTTTTAGTGTAAGCTTTTCTCCTTTACCTTGTTTTGCACATACTGTCAACTATTACACTAATATGATTTATTACACACTAATACAGAGACTACTTTCCATGTAATTGCTTATGATTGCTTTGTGTATTACTGAAGAACATTTAGTTCATGACATTTTTCATCATAGTTTATTTAAATGTTGTAATATTCTTACTGTTTTTAAGGCCACATTAGCTTTGTGTATTACTGAAGAACATTTAGTTCATGACATTTTTCATCATAGTTTATTTAAATGTTGTAATATTCTTACTGTTTTTAAGGCCACATTAGATAAACTTTGATAACGTATGGGAAATTTATTCATCACCTTTCAACTATATTGTTGAATTTTACAAAATATGAAATGAATTTTACAAAATTTTAAATGAATCTTAAAAAATATTTAGAAAAGTAAGATAAAGTTTTGAAATTAATACATTCAGCAGTATTTGAATTTTGATTTTATGCAGCCTTCATAAATATTTATCACAAAGAGATATTAAATCCTGGGACAAATTTTATGACGATTTGCACAAAAATTTAACACATTTCAAAAACCACAAAAACATTTTCTTTTAAAATATACATATTTAACATGTCTTTAAAATTTATAGATGAAAACGCAATTGAACTAAATTGTATGCTTTTTCAATTTTATAAATACAGTGATTGGAAAGGCAAAGTCTGACACAGAAAAATTACCCTATATAATTGCTTTGGTTTGTCAAGTGCTTAAGGGATTTTATTTCATGAATCAATACACCATATTCTTTGTTTTCCAAATTAGGGCTGGTCCTTGGCTATTAAATAATCATTTGATGTCAAACATGATAATTCTTTTGAATATAGCTTATCCATTTATCATATACTGAATGGAAAGTTACAAAGATTTTGATTTTTTAAAATTTTTACTTGCAAGGCACTTGAGTTTTATCCTCTTTTTTTAAGTTTTGGTCTAGCTTTTTAAAATATTTGTTAAACTGAATGGAAAGTTACAAAGATTTTGATTTTTTAAAATTTTTACTTGCAAGGCACTTGAGTTTTATCCTCTTTTTTTTTAAGTTTTGGTCTAGCTTTTTAAAATATTTGTTGCATTATTTAAAAAGACTTGCTTATTTCCTTTTTCTTTCTATCACTGTATTTATTACCATTAGATGTTAACCTTAGTTTGATGTGAACTATATGAATCTCTAGTGTATTTAGTGTATTTTTTGTAATTTTCTTTCAATAATCTAACATTCTAAACTTTGTTTGATGTTATCTTTACATTAATCAGTAGTTACTAGTCCTTCTTCAAGTGTGATAAGTGTTAGAGAAGCAGCAAGAGAAAACAGAAAATATAATGCTAACATGAAGGGTCCAGGTAAGTTCAGTTCAGTCAGTGTGACACATTCTAAATTATCAGAAGGTTTAGAGATTATAGTATAAAAACAAACAGTGCAAGTGATAGGTTTTCAACATTTTATTAACACCAATGTTGGATTTATATTGAAAGTTTACCAACTGTAAAGTTTCATATTGTATGCTTTTAAAAAATCTCTGATCTTTTTTTGGCATAATTATTTTTCTAACTGATTAATTGTAGATCGCATACTTTCAAATCTTTAGTCATGAATCTCAGTTTTTAAATTCATACATGTTAGATGGCACTCTTTAGTATCTTTTGAATCGTAAATAAAAACTTCATCATTCAGTAAGCAGTGCATCTATGACATAAACCTTTTATTTGTTATCCAATTTTCTTTCAAGCAGTTAAATTAACTTTTTATCATGAGCTAATTAAAGAGATTATTGAAATCTGTTTTGCTCAAGTAATACAGATTGTTTTTGCCTTAGAATTACAGGAGTTCTACCTGTGTATTACCAGGATGCTATATGAAATTTGTTGAGAGAACTCGAATCTGTGTGACATATTTTCAGATCTGTCACTAATCTACATTCTGTTTGCAAAAAACATGTTTTTCTTTACATTGATGCATATTACAAATTACAAATAAGAGCTTCTAAATTTTTGGTACCAACTTTAATATTGGAATGCTTAAATGTGTGCTTATCTACTTTCTGTTGTCTGCTTCCTCATTGTTTGATATATGTTTTTATCTCTTTACTCAAAAGCGAGTAAGGGATATAAATAAGTGAGTAGTAGCTCACATGACATCTTGTTATATCATGGTTTATATATATTTCTCATAAAATAATGCAAATTCTTAGATATTGTTTTCTCTATTGATTACAAATTATCTCCCCTTTTAAAGTACTTCATCTTCAATATAAGAATTAAAAAAAAACATATCCTGTTATTTTTTCTATTTTCAATGTTGAAAATAAGAGTAATCAAGTATATAACAATGTTCAAAATATAAAACTTTTTACCTTTTTTTAGCTCACCTGGTTAGAGGGCCAAGTGTCTCATCACTTGGGGTTCGTCATCCGTCGTCGTCCATTAACTTTTACAAAAATCTTCTCCTTTGAAACTACTGGACCAAATAAAAATTATAATAGATAATTATATGAATAGAAACTTTAAAGAACAAAAATGATCAGCAAGACAAGATCCACAAACAAGTGAAATTTTGCCGATATAGTTAGTAGACTGTCACTCTTCATAGGAGTGATTGCCCTTAAATGAGGATTTGTTTACCTTCTTTTGTGTTATGAGCAAAAACTAAAGAAGATAGAGAGAAACTAAAGAGACAAAATGATTGGCAATACAAGATCAACAAAAAGAGATATTTTTCATGAATTTTATTCTTGTCTACAATGTTGGAGAGAGTCCATTGTTGAATATGTACATAGACCTAGGTGAGCGACACAGGCTCTTTAGAGCCTGTAGTTCTACATGTGATTTTCCTTGCTTGAGTATACCTATAAGAAGTTGAGAAATGAATACCATTGTAAACTGATTTACTTTTAATTGACAGAGACTGCATCACAGAAAACAGAGGAGGAGGAAATATCTGATCATGCTTACATACCATATAAATATGCTCGTAATTGTATAGCCAAAATAATGGAGGACATGAAAAATATGAAAGTAACTCATGTCCGCATTGTCAGTGAAATACAAGGAGAATATAAACAAATAGAAGATGAAACTCAGGTGAGCAACTGTGTTGTATGATAATAATGGTAAGTCACACTTCTATCACTACTGTAACATTATTTATAAAAAATATTCACTTAATTGCCAGAGTCTGTAACCAAGTTCAAAACTTATCTTACTATGTTTACATATATAATTTGTGTTAAATATTGCTAACAGAGCTTTAACCAAAAGTGTTCCACTTATGTTTAAATTCACTATACAGTTATATAGACCATAAAATTTATCTTGATATAGCTTTTCATCCTCTTTGAATGAAATTCATATTGATTGTATTGGAAGTGATCAATCTTTTGTTGAATAAAACGAAAACTGGTTAACTTAAAAAAGTTGACAGTTTTTGGGAGGAAATTGTTAAGATCAATTACTTTTAGGAAGTCAAAAGAAAAATAGGAGTTTTCATTCCTGTTTATGCTGATATTTCACAGAAAAGTGAAAAAACTGGTTTATATGCAGAAAAATCTACTTTTATTGAATGTATAATTGGTAAAGTTATCTCCCATGGTCAAACATTTATTTACAATAAAATGACAATATAGTCTTTAATTTTTCTAAATGCTTGCAAATTTTTTTAAGCATATTATAAATACTAATAAAATAAGCAACATGTCCAAGAATTCTTAATTTAATAGATGCTGACATTATACATGTATGATTAAAAAAAATCTTGATATGATTGTTTTCAGTCAAATTAATTTCAGTCAAATTAACAGATCTTATGCAAAAACACAAAAAATTATGGATATTATTTGCTTAGATTCCTCAATAAATAAAACCTTATAACAAATCCAGGACATATTTCGTTATTTAGAGAATTTATTTCGGTACATGGGTATTTATGGAGTGGTAAATATTTGTCTGTTGTTAAAATGCAAACCTTTTATGTATAAACCTCAAACACTGCAGGAATTCAGTCTAATTATACTGGATGATAAATAATGTCACAAATGCACTTGTATTTCAAGAATTTTTTTTCGGATGAAGAAACCTCATATAACAAAAATTTTGAATAGAAATACAAAACAATTAATGTATATATGTACTATTTTACAGTCCCAGTTTAATACCTATGTTTTCTTCCTGAGAGACCAGTACTCCAACAAAGTCAAAACATTTAAACAGGTTATAGATGTACACAGAATGGACCTGCAAAATAAAGAACAATACTGGAACGAAATGTTACAGGTATGTACAATGTTTTTATGACAGTCTGATAATGAAAGGCAAAAGATGCTAAACAAAATTCTAAACAAATAATAATATTTTGCTTTATTATTGAGAAGGTTGTGTATATATGTAAACCAAAAATATAAAAAAGTCTGAAATTGAAAACAATGTTCAAACCTATGATTGCGTTGGATAAAAAGCGCAATTCTTATATGTATGCATGCAAAACAAATTTCTTGGTAGAGGGGTCTAAATACAGCACACCAACATTTTCCAAAAGACCAAAAAAGTAAAAAAGTATATTTTAACAAAACGCATTTGACTAGCAGGTCGAACAACGGATGTTCTTAAACCCTGCTGACTGCCATGGCGAATAAACAGTTCACCACATGTAACAAAATGGATCTTAATTATTAATTTAATACCAAACAGAAAACAATAAACTTGCGGAAAAGATGGTAAACCACAAACATGAGGTGCAAAAATTTGTACACAATATCTGGATTTTGACAATTAATGTCTCTTCAGTGATGTTAGGAACTGAAACGGTATTTGGAAGGCCATATAATTGAAACCAATATATACAACATATAATAATACTAAGACAAGCTATATAACTGGTGCAGATTTATGGTCTGTGTATGATAAAAGAAGAAAATGGGTTTGCATTTAATGAAACATTTGTCCTAACAACAAGTTTATACCCCAAAAGTCACCCTACAGCAATCAGTGATGGAGAAACTTTGCATTACTCAGAAGGTAGATGAGTTTAAGATGAAATTAACACAGATGACTGAATTGCAAATGCCTGCAATCAATTTCAAATTGCATGGATACAAAAAATAAAGTAGAAACAACAACCAAAAACCGATTTCTTTGTTTGAATTAGGCACTGGGACAGGTGATGTGATTTAAACTAATACTTGTAACATTTCAGAGAGGATTCAATTCTAGATTTGTCCATTACTATTTCTTCATTATTCATAGTACTGGTAATTGGTTGTAGGTAGAAACATTTCCATCTTTATGTTCAATGAAGCAAAATCATCTGTTTGTTTTGTAATGACAAACAATTTCAGATGACTCAGACTGGGTTGAAAGAAAAGGAGCATTTTTAGTTAATTATTAATTGAAATTATTTTTTATTATAATTTAACCAACTGAATTTATGAATATTTTATTCTTCAGAGTTTGGCTGAGAGAAATAACAAATTACTTAAAGACAAGAAGGTTTTGTTGATTCAGAACAAAGTAGAAATAGAGAGACTAGAAAGAGAAAAGGTATGTATTCGTTGAGTAACATGGCTGAAGATGAATGGAATTTTCAAATAATTTTTTATGTAGTATAAGTTTTTAGTGTGTACTGTTCTACAGAGATATTCCTAAAATATGATTGATTATTTGTGTACAAAGTGTGATTGATTAGTTGTGCACAAAATGTGATTTATTGTTTATGTACAAAGTGTGATTGATTAGTTGTGCACAAAATGTGATTTATTATTTATGTACAAGGTGTGATTGATTAGTTGTGTACAAAATGTGATTTATTATTTATGTACAAGGTGTGATTGATTAGTTGTGTACAAGCAAAGCATAGCAAGTCCTTTATGCTATCTCCTTTATTTGAAACTTTTTTTTTCTGTTATTCGTGATGCATGAACATTAAAAATCTGAAACTAAAAACTGGGTATATATTTAAAGATACATTTAAAGATTAAAAAGTAAAAAAATATGTCACTGTGTGATCAAATGCTGAAAGTGCACAGGGTGAATACTGATCAGCTTTTGAACACACAAGTCAATAAACTGTATGTTACAGTTTTTAATGTATTAAGTTTTGGAACTCTGCCATTAAAAAAAGTAACAAAAACATTTATTATCTCCATTTTACATTGTTCTTAAAGGTTAATAATTCCTTCAGATTGAGAAATCTCAACTGTTACCTTTTTGTGTTTCAGGTAGAAATAACAACAGAGCTAACCCAAAAGTTAGATACAGTTACAGCATCATTAGCAGTAGCCTCAGGTATTGATGTACAATTAATTCATTTTTCAGTTGTTATGTTACTATATAATACCAAGTATATCATTAAAAGCAAGAATTGAAAACGAAAAGGACATAATTTTTATACGACCGCAAAAAAATTTTTGTGGTCGTATATTGGTATGACGTTGGCGGCGTCGTCGTCGTCGTCGTCCGAAGACACTTGGTTTTCGCACTCTAACTTTAGTTTAAGTGAATGGATCTTTATGAAATTTTACCACAAGGTTCAATACCACAAAAGGAAGGTTGGGATTGATTTTGGGGGTTATGGTAATAACAGTAAAGGAATTAGGGGCCAAAAAGGGGCCAAAAATAAGCATTTTTGTAACTTCCAGACATAACTTGTGTGTTAGTGTATGTATCTCTCTGACATTGTACCACAAGGTTCCATATCACTAAAGGAATGCTGGGATTGATTTTGGGGGTAATTGCCTCCAAATTTTAGGAATTAGGGGCCAAAAAAGGGGCAAAAAACAAGCATTTTTCTAGTTTCATGACAATAACTTGTGTGTAAGTGTATGGATCTTTCTGAAATTGTACTACAAGGTTCCATATCACAAAGGGAAAGCTGGGTTTGAGTTTGGGGGTAATTGCCCTAAACGTTTAGGAATTTGGGGCCAAAAAGGGGCCAAAAAACACATTTTTTTCTAGTTTCCAGACAATAACTTGTGTTCAAGTGTATGGATCTCTCTGAAATTGTACTGCAAGGTACCATACCACAAAGGGAAGGCTGGGATTGAGTTTGGGGGTGATGAATCATAATGGGGGTTCAAAAAATTTTGGGGGGGGGATTTATTTTTTTTCCCTTTTTTTCTTTTTTTCCTTTTTTGTTTCTTTTAAAATTTTCCATTTTAAGTTGGTTATTTCTGATTTAGATTTAAAATCAAATAATAATGATATGGTAGGAGATACACACCAAACAGGATGTGTAAATTATTATATAATAAGTATTGTGCAATAGCAAGAAATTTTCAATTGCACAGTATTGCACAATAGCAAGAAATCTTCAATTGCACAGTATTGCGCAATAGCAAGAAATCTTCAATTGCACAGTATTGCGCAATAGCAAGAAATATCCAATAGCACAATATTGCGCAATAGCAAGAAATTGTCAATTGTACAGTATTGCGCAATAGCAAGAAATATTTAATAGCACAGGATTGTGCAAAAGAAGATACTTCCTATAAATTGCTTATTTCTTGACCAATTTCAATGGGGTTTTATTCTTGATTTCATGGGGTTCTTTAATATGCTGAATCTAACCGTGTATTTAGTTTTTGGATTTTGGGCCCCGTTTTTAAATTGGTCCACATTGAGGTCCAAAGGGTCCAAAATTAAACTTTGTTTGATTTCATCAAAAATTGAATTATTGGGGTTCTTTGATATGCCGAATCTAACTGTGTATTTAGATTCTTAAATTTTGGTTCCGTTTTCAAATTGGTCTACATTAAGGTCCAAAGGGTCCAAAATTAAACTTAGTTTGATTTTAACAAAAATTGAATTCTTAGGGTTCTTTGATATGCTGAATCTAAACATGTATTTAGATTTTTGATTATGGGCCCAGTTTTCAAGTTGGTCCAAATCGGGGTCCAAAATTAAACTTTGTTTGATTTCAACAAAAATTGAATATATGGGGTTCTTTGATATGCTGAATCTAACCATGTATTTAGATTTTTGATTTTTGGGCCCCGTTATCAACTTTGTCCACATTGAGGTCAAAAGGGTCCAAAATTAAACTTTGTTTGATTTCATCAAAAATTGAATTCTTGGGATTCTTTGATATGCTGAATCTAACCCATGTATTTAGATTTTGGATATTGGACCATAATAGGTGAATGTCCAATTTAAAATTTTTAAGTTCTTAGACCACATTCAATCTGTGTTAGAAACCTATGCTGTGTCAAATATTTAATCACAATCCAAATCCAAAGCTGTATCAAGCTTGAATGTTGTGTCCATACTTCCCCCAACTGTTCAGGGTTCGACCTCTGCGGTCGTATCAAACTGCGCCCTGCGGAGCATTTTATTAAATGTTGAAATTAGAAAAGTCTTTAGAAGCACTACTTCATATTAAAATATAAAAAAATTACAATACCATCTTGCAACAGGAAAAAGCAATATCATATTTCTCTTATGGAACATAAATTTTAAAAGGCAGTTGATGGTATATAAAAGATGTCAGAATTGTCATTTATTAACCGAATCTGTTAAAATGCAATAAGTTGAATGTTAAATAATTCTATTAATATGTTTTGTTTTATGATTTCAGCTGCAGAGAGTAAAGCATCTACATATGAGAAAGAAGTTCAGGTATAAAACTAATTGGAATTTTAGATCTACCACCTTTCCTGAATTAATGTCAAGGCACCGATAAGACAGCTAAATATATTAAATTTTGTTATAATTTTAGTGCTTTTTATTTTTTTATCTTGATAAAAAAAACAATATTTAGCTGGTTAGAAGAAATTTTATGAAATGTTCTTCAAATTATTTATCTTGTATGATTTTAAGAATTTTTATCAAACATCATAGTTCCATTCTGTTCTATGTACATTAAAAAAAGTGGAATAACTGAAACTTCATAGCTGTTTTATGGTTTGCTTCAATCTAAATAATTACTGTATTTTTCCCATTAGAATCTAGTTCTTCTTTTATGCCCAATTCACATTTTAACATGGTGTAATATGTTTACCTCACTACCTTATATAAAGACAAACAGAAACCTTAACTGATAAAATTTGCAAAGAGCAAGATGTGAAAGATTTATTTTACCATTCTTCATATTCCTGAAGATGTTGTAGCTCTTACTACTTGCTTATGTTTCACCATTACCCTCAGTGCTCTTATTATGTAATAGCAGTTTGATATTTTGATTTTGGATTTTTAATCATCAATTTTGTACAAGTCATATTTTTTCATAAAAATAATTTGTCTTAATCTGATGAATAAATGCATGAGTTCTGTTTCATGTTATGTACATTATTGGCTTTCTTAAATTTTTAATTGGAAAACTTCCACTATGTGTGTTATTAGGAGAAAATCAATTGTCACATTAATCTTTTTCTGTGTCTTTCAAACATCCTTCAGAACATTAAAAAATTTCTGACATACCATTTTAAATCTATTAAATTATAATAAAGACTCTTTTAATTTTAAAATCATTTAATTAAAATGAATAAAAACGCTTGTCAATTTTATTTAGGAACTTAAGGAGGAAAGTGAGAAGAAAAACGAAGAGATTAAGAAACTTAAAGATCGTCCTGTATCTGCTGGTGACCATGGAGATGAGGGAGAAATCAAACAATTGCAAATGGCACTTGCCATTAAAGAAGAAGAACTTAGGGTTGCTCTTGCTGGAGGTGCTGTTGTTATGGCAACGAAGGAAGAGGAACCAAAAGTGCAGTCAAGTAAACCAATCATAGCTGCAGCTGTTGTTAGCACTGAAGATAAAGATAAAATGTCAAAGGAAAGAGGTCAGATTACTGATGAGAGAGACAAAATGATGGATGAAAGAAGAGAAATAGACGATGAAAGGATAAGTTTTCAAGATGACAGGAAGAAGTGGTTGGATGAGATCAACAGACTGACTATTGAATTAACAGCACAGAATAAGGTAGTGAACAAAGGGATATGTTATTTAGAACTTCTTTTTCCTTGTCTAGTGGAAACCATTGTCATTGAAATATTTCAGTTAATTGAAAAACTTGAGAAACATGCAAAAAAATATGTCTGAAAATTATGCATCCTTACTTGGTATCATTTGACAATTGTTTGTAAGTATTTTGCACAAACAGATTAAAAAAGTAACAAATGAAAATAGCAACGAATAGATTATACTCTGAAAAAAAACCTCATGGAATAAAACTCAAAGGTATACAGAATATAAAATGAAGTAACATGCATAGATCATTGTGCTTGATTTTTTAATTTTGCTTGTTCAAATAAAAAAATGAAATATCTAAACAAAAAATTGTAATGTATATTGTAAAGCTTATATCTTATAAGTAGGATATGATGGTCTAAATTAAGTTGATGTGCAAGTTATTATGTAAAATCAACTTGCATATGTATTCTCTGATAATTTCAGAACACAGCAGAATTAGAAGTCAAAAATGACAGTTTGAAACATCAGTTACAAGACATGGCAACATTACAGGCCAAGTACCATGCTTTAGAGAGTCAATATGAGGCATTGTCTGTGATAGTGAAAGGCTCGGACTCTGCCAAGGAGGCTGCAGAGGAAAACATCTCTAAAACAAAATCAGATAAAGATATGATGGAACAGGAACAGAAAAATAAAGAGGAAGAGATTAAAAAATGGGAAGAAAAGTTTAAAAAGAAACACAAGAGAGACCCAACAGATGAAGATAAGTAAGTGTTCATGTCAAGGGTGCTGTTTGCACTTTTGCCTAAAACAGGAACAAGTCATATGGCTATGATGATATTAAGTGATTTGAGAAGTAGATGTCTGGTAACTGCCGTTTAATCTGTTGGTTACAAAGGGCCTTTGAAAGTGATAAAAAACCGTATGATATAATAAAGAAAGTCCAAATTTAAGAATACTATATATTTTAACATAGTTTTCTTTGCAGTAGTTTATCTTCGAAATATACATTTAAACAAAGTTAAGTGAATAGACTCCATATCTTATTTATCAAATTTCAGATTATCTGATGTAATAAATTCAACTGATGTCTTTTCTTCTGATTACAGGTCTGATTCTGTGAAAGAAATGTACATCCAGAAGGAAGAATTGGGTACCATGGTAACCTCATTAGACCAGAAACTAGTTACTTATGAGAAGGTTCAGAAAGGAGAAGTTCCTGATCCACCAGAGGTTGCTCCTGTTCCCATGGTAATCATAGAACCTGAGGTTAAAACTGTTGAGGTAACTGTTTTCAGTATGTGAGGAAATTTACATGGTCTAGAGCAAAAAAAGGTGTATGCAATGGTTTTCAAAAATCCATATTTTAAGTAATTTTAATGTATCATAATATTTTTTGTTATCTTATTCAAAAACTTATTTCAAAGAAGAGGAATGGAAATTGGTTTGGATTCTCTTAAAGTGAAAAAGAGCCTAAGGTTATGATGGTGAAAGTAACAGCATATTCCCTGTCTTCAATACAAGTAGGAAAAAAGCACTGCAGAGAATACAAACCTAGTGTAATTTTAAGCTTTTCTAAGTTTAAGAAGATTTGTTTCATTTTTACATCTGATGTATTTAACTAACATAAACAAGAATTCAATTTGACAAAAATCCTTCTTCACTGCAGGTAACAGTTCCTGATCCTTTAATCCTTGAAGAACTTCAGAAAGCTCAAGCAGAAATTGCTAGACTTAGAGATCAGATTTCAGGTTTACAAGAAGAGAATACAAACCATGCAAACACAATCAGTCAACAGAATGAAGAACTCTCTAATCTTAGAGATAGAATAAGTCAGTTGGAGGCAGAGGTTGCTGCTCTGAAGGCAGGTGCTGCCACAGTTGTAACATCAGCTGTCAGTAATGAGGTAATTTAAGTGAAGAGTCAGAAACTAATGTGAAAAATTATCAGGATGAACTTTGCAAAGCAATTTTCGCGTTCAGAATTTTGCTGGTAATATCCTTTTATGACATGTGCAGCAATAGCATTAATTTTCTTAACATCAAATTAATGTTGATAATATACACTTATCATATTGCATTAATTTTGTTAGAATAAGGTAAAATGCAAGTCATGGTTTTTTTTATTTTGATCAAAATTTAATTAAATTACTATGGTAATTGACAAGATAAGAGAATAAAAGAGATATTGGAATATTAAAACAGTGAACTTTTATCGTGTCTAAATTATTCTTATTGATTTTAAAGAAGAGATTTGACTCTTTTTTGGTTTATAAAAATATTTATCTTATGTCATTAATACTATTTTACATTGTAAATGCAGGAAGTTGAAAAGTTAACTCAAGAAAACAGAGAACTGAAGAAAGATATGAAGAAGATGTTGAAAAGGATGGAAAAACAAAAAGACACTGGAAAAACTCCAACTGGAGGTGAATAAAGTCATTGAATAGTTGTCTGATCAAATATTGACCATTCCCAATAAAATTTCATCAGCTTTCTGAAACTGATTTTAATTTTAAAACTTTTAGGAAGTAATATGTTAATAACAAAAAATAAATAATATTTTGTTGCCTTTAACAAAGTGGCCAACACTTAAAAATGTAAGTTAAGTGAGACATCAACCTAACAACACAATTTCACTTAATTACATATACAGAGGCCTCAGGATAAAAGTTTTCTTTAACTTCATATTTTATTTGATACATATAATTGATCATTTCAGATCCAGATGAGCGAATGCAGAACTTGGAAGGTAAAGTGTTAGACCTAGAAGACAAGGTTATAGACCTGGAATCAGATAACAAAGGCTTGATGGATGATAAAAATAAACTAGCCATGGAAAAGGATGGTCTTTTGGAACAAATATCTGTAAGATTCAAATTGTGTGATTCATTTTTATATGGTTTTAATCTCAGGGTTAGGTTATATCACATTCTTGAAAGTTAACATGACTGAAGTTAATGAAATTCCAAATATTATTGCATATAGAATGGACTCTTATGACACATATTAAGGATTGTATAAATTTTCATATCTCTATCGAAAAGAAACTTTGTATATATTTTGATCATGATTCTATTGAGTATCCTGTAAATTTTGTTTGTAAATGTGTTTATTTTTAAAGTATATCCAAAATTGTAAAAATATTTACAGCTTGTATACTTCATCATGTACAAATAAGAATGATGTTTGCTTGTAAAATCAATATCATCCATTGAAAGAGTAAGCATAGTCATTACTAGTCAATCATGGAATGGTAATAAATGGATGTCTGAAAATCTTGTTTCACTCGTTAAAGATTTCGTTTGTGCAGGGATGGGGTATTTTGGAATAACCTTACTGTTCGTTCATCTGTTTGTCAATGTGGTTTGTAAGCTCAACTCCACCCAAAAACTAGACTGATATTGATGGAACTCTACATACCATAGATTCATTTTTTTTGTAAATTGAGAACAAATTATTGTTGTTTTTTTTTGCGGATATTCGATTTTACGGTTTTGGCAAAGTTTTCATACAAGCCTTTAGAAAATTTGTACTTTGTTGAACATCAAAATTTGTGGTTAACCTATTACTGTGAAATCAACAAAAATAAGTATCCCATGAAAAAATAAGTATCCCATGAAAAATAAGTATCCCATGAAAAATAGAGAATCAACAGTAGTTGCAAAACACTACCTGAAGTGCATAAAGTAATATAACATCTGGTCCAACATGTGAAAGGGGAGATTATCGAAATTACTTGTGTCAATATCACGATATATGGTAATAGTCTCTTGTAAGGCCAGGGTATCCTATTGTCAGTTCACTCACATTTCTAGCTACAATAGCTAATTAAAATTCAGTGTTTAGCTAAAAAGGCCAACTTAACTTTAATATGTGAAGTACACACTCGTATAATAAAGCTATAATTTCATAATTTGATTGGACTGACTGATGTCATGAAAACAAGTTTTAAAATAATGAATTAGTTAAACACTTAACATGAAGATTAGTGCACAATATTAGTCCTTTCATTTAAGTGTGTATGGTTTTATGATTGTAGGCTCTGACAGTGGCAGCATCCTCTGGTACTACAACAGCCACACCTGTTATGGCAGTAGCAGCGGTAGCAGGATCCAAACAAGATCAAGCTGATGTAAGTTTGTCTTTAATCAGCTGTTGATTAGAATTAAATTAATTAAAGGAAATTGGATAAATATCCTTGAGGGTCGACCCAATGACATAAAAAAAAACAACCAAAAGACATTTAAAGGCTTTAGAATATACCAAGCTTTCATTTGCTCTGAGTCTAGAAAAGTTATGAATTACTTGAACAGAAATTTTTCAAAGATCTGCCATCAGGAACAAATTTCCTAAAGAACAAAAAACACTGCTAGGAAGATACAACTTAAGACAACCATTGACAAGAATTCTCACTTGGGACATGTTGCAGGGTTAGTTATACATGTTCATGGAATTTGAAGAAAGTTAACATTCAAAACAGAACAGGACAATACGAAAGCCCTAAAAGAAGTATGCTTGTCAGATTTTAGGACATGAAAGACAAGGATAACAGAAGTGATCTCAAAGACCTTATCGTTATTTGTGAATCTGTGACACTTGACCTGAGAATCTACTACAGTTGACCAGAGAATCTGCGACACTTGGAACTATTGACGTCATACAACTTTCACTTTTCTTTTGTAGCATAAGATTTTTTCTCCTATGACATCAAAATTTAACGTCTGTAATGTCCAGTAATGGCAGATAAATAGCGTTAAGGTCTATTGTACTTTCATGATGTAAATTTATTTCACACAAAGTACATGTGATGATGGAATATTGATATAGAATATAGTAAAAGGTATCTTGTAAGGAAGCTCATAATAAACTTTTATATTTTCATAGGGATGCAATTTACCTGAGCATGCAGACTTGATAATACAGTTGGAAATAAAGAGTAAAGAACTAATAGAAAAAGACAGAGAGATATCTGAGAAAGATAGACAGATTGAAGAAAAAGATAAGTTAATTGAAGAAAAAATGAAGGTAACAATTTGCAATTAGAAAACAATTTTGCGAAAATTAACCTCAGATTCAGAATTATTTACTACAAATAAACAGAAACAAACATTGAAATATTTATATTTTGGGATATAATGTATATTGAATAAACTAATAAATTGTATAGGTTCTTTAAGTGAAGCATATATAAATAAAAATCTTTAATTGTCTAAAGTGATGTATAAACAGTAAAATGAATTAAAAAAAATTGAGTGATATTGTGGCAGAATTTTATAAACTTTTTATTCAGAATGACATTGCACATGCATTTATTAATAAAATTTGAAAAACAATCAAATTATTAAAGTGTTTTCAACAATTTCAGCTCACAGACAAATGAAATCTATGAAAATTCTCTGATAAAAGGAATTGGTTCACATACAGAGCCTTTTAAGTTTGCATCCACATAGTACAAAGAGATTTTAAAACTCTATGAAAAATTTGCTGTTATTCTAATACTACTAATATTATTATTTGCAGGAAATTGAGAAGTTGAGAGGTCAGTGTAAAGAAATGAGGTCTGACATGATGAAGATGGCTAAGTCACATCAGAAACTTCAGACCAAACTGAAAGATTTAGACCAGTTAGAAAAGACCAAGAAACTTTTACAGGCCATGTCGTTCTATGTATGTATTACTGTAGAAAGAGTGACAATAGATATATAAGTCTTCCGTGCAATTAGTACTAAAACAGTGCTTTAATGATCAAACAGGCTTGTCATTTGTCCATGGTAAAATACAATTCATAATAGGGAATAGCGAGGGTGTGTTTAAGCATTTGATTAATGATACAGCTCACAAATTTGAACCTTCATTTGACATTTCTTTGATGGTGCTCAATAATGACTGTAAGTAAACATATATTCATTTTACTTAACTGAATTTCATAGAGTAAAAGTTACACATATGTAATGTTTTGTTGAATTTCAAAAGAAAAGATTGTATTTTTATCCTAGAGCTATTTTTAGAGATAGCAATTTTTCTCTCTCAGATACAAGAAATTCATCGTGAACAACCTCCAGCTGGTGAAGCAGTCAAGAATCGTCTGAGCACAGTAACACCTGGTGTGGTTGCCATAAAAACAGCTGACGAAAAAAATCAGAAAGCATACGATGCTTGGGCTGAAAAGTTCAAGAAAAAGAATGGAAAAGATCCTGGATCCAAAGACAGGTATACAACTTATTGTCACTTGCTTAATAGCAGATTCAGGTTTATGGAATACTGATGGCTGTTTGGCTGTCCATTCTACATTATAAAGGCTCTGACACCTACTGTTTTCATCAGATTTTAATCAAATTCATGACAAAGGTTAACATAACTATTATCTCTGACATGTTCTAAAATTAGGGTCAAAGGATTATTAATGCCCCTTGGAAATGTGAATAATATAGGAATCGATATTGTCAGCATTCTTACATTTCTCATTGAAGTTTGCTGAGATGTATGTTAATATCTTACCTGTGTTCCTTAAACAGGACCTATCGATTAATTTTGGGAGATTTGTATCCATTGGAAATATATATGATATGAAATAATCAACATTGCAAGCACTTTCCTGCCTACATTTATCATCAGAGTTTGATGAAATTTATGTCAAAGGTTAATAACACCAATATTTAAAAAGTTGTATCAAATTGAAAAATCAATGCAGATCAGTCACTTTTACAGGAGTTATGCCCTTGGAAAATTCCAGTTTATTGGCAGGGGACCTTAGCTACACTGTAATAATCTTGTTTTTAGTAATAATTTCAGAATTTGGAACATATCTTTTTTTTAATATTATGTAAACACCCTACCCCAGAAACCCGAATCTCCCTTTGGACTGGTGTATAGAACTTAGCATAGATTTTTATATAATATTTGATGCACGGACTTTTGGTTTGTTTGCCTATTTCTAAGGTTTCTCATTCAACTTATAGGGATGCAGAAGGAGAGAAACTTTTCCGTGCATTGGAAGTCAGTAAGAAAGAACACGAAGACATTCAGATAAAGATTGAGGCTCTGACAATCATGCAAACAGGAGACTACAAAGCTCCAATCCAAAGGGAGAAGACCGTTATTGAAGGTGAGAATTGTCAAAGATAAATTATTTCCTACACAGAAACTTTTATCTATTATCAAAAAGAAAACTGCTTCTTTGAACTAATGTTAATAAAAACAATTTAGAATTATCTTGTTATAAAATTTCAGAGGAAACTCCAGTTAAACAGATGGAACAACAAATGTCAGAGTTAGACAACAAACTTGAGACTTTGGAAGGTGAAAATGATCAGCTGAAATCAGAAAAGAGTGATATGGTGGCAAAAATGAGAGTATGTATAGTACTTATTGCTCAGTTTATTTAAAGGAGAAGGTCCGGTAAGGGCTCGTTTTGGCCTATTATTCGAAGTACATCTAATGAAAGATTTTTGACATTTTTTAAACACTTAAGTGTCTACCTCAGTTGATTCAATTAGTTTATGTAAAAGATTTGGACTGATTTGGTCATTAAAGATGCTCAAATTCAAGCTTTATTATGAAAAATCTATCAAATATGCCATTAAACGTCACTTTTCAGATGGTTTGTGTCTAAAATGTAAGTGGCCGCATTCGTGTTCAGTCTCAACCTTTATATATGTTATGTATTATCATCAAATACAACATATATTTAAATATTAAGACTGAACACAAATGCGGCCACTTCCATTTTGGACAAAAAACGTCTTAAAATTAGCACATATGCTAAAATTGTGAAGATTTCAGTAATATTGCATGAGTTTATGATGCTATTACCTGATGCATGTGCATTGTATTGTCAAAAAACAGCCCATATTTATGGAACAGAAGTATTTTTCTTTCCAAAAAATAGCTAAAAGTTTACATTTTAACAAATTGGTAAAAATGCTATATTTTGGGGCCAAAAAGGGGTCTTATCGGGCCTACTCCTTTTGCTTGAATAGAAAGTAAATTTGATGAAAACATTTTTGAATGCAAAAAATATTGTCTATATATATTTTATTTAGTCTATATTGCATAAGATTTCAATTAATATAAAATCTAATATTAAAGTTATTTTGGGAAATATACAGCTCTTCATGCATTTCAATATATTGCGCTCAGAATAAAAAAATGTTTTTTTATATCTTTAAGGATAATTGTAAACAATTGTTTTTCTTCAGGAGCTAGAAGTACAGTTAGAGGAGGCCAGAAACAAAGCAGAACTACAAGCTACTCTTGCTACAGGAGATATGAATACAGAGGTAATATTTTACTTCACTGACCCTTCTTTAAATGTGGCAAACCGTCTTGATAGTCTTGTGGCAGTGTGCTTGCCTAGATTGCAGGAGGTTATGGGTTTTGATCCCCAGCCAGGTCAAACTAGAGACTTTAAATTGGTATTAGCTGCTTCTCGGCTAAGCATGTAGCATTTAGGAGTAAGAGCAAAGACTGGCCTGCCCAAAGTCAGAATACTGTGTGCAGGTAGGGTGATATATCTTCCTACTGACTGGTACATAGTGAACTAGCACGCTAAACATCTGGCTCAGTGTTTTTGTCTAGTACAAAGCAGGGTTCATATTCAAATTCGCCACTGGAGGTTTAACAGCCATTCATCAACATCATCATCATCAAATGTGGCAACTTGCTCAAATCATTACACTTTTATATCCTCAGGCTAGTATATTTTAGATAGAATATTTAAGCATAATTGAAAAAATATTGCCTCATACTGAAGAGACATTGAAAAGTTATATTTGATTTTTTCTGTTTATTACTTGTTTGTAACTAAGTTCCATGAAAACCCAAAAGTTGATTAAAGATTGAAACAAAATAATTAAACAATACTTGTATAACAAACTAGGGATTGTAGTCAGTGTTTCTAGGCTTTAAATACTCAATGCTTGATTATGGTTCAAACAAAATTTTGATCCAAATTAGAGTCATTGCTAATAGATCATCAAATTGCAGACATAACTTAATTTCTATTGATATTTTAACAGGAATTATCTAACCAGATTACATCCCTTCAGAAGGAAGTTTCTTTGTCAGAAGCAGCATTACGTCAAGAAAAAATGGCTCACAACAACACAAAAGATGAGTTAGAAAATCTACGCAATCAAATGTCTGTTGTGAAAGAAGAAGTTGATAATGAGAAATCAGAACTACAGACTAAACTGGCTAATGACAAGAAATTACTGGATGCAGAGCTTAAAGCCAAAGATCAGGTTTGTTAAATATCAAGTTGTATAAAAACATAGATTAGTATAAGCCTCCAGTCATTATCAAATATTTAATAAGACACTTTTAAAAAACATCTTGTATTCAACATGCATAATCAAACATTGTTTAAATTTGAAAGTTGAATGAAGTCAGTTTCTCATTCCAGTAACGGTTTCACAAAAATCTGACTGGAAAAATACTTATTAGTCATTAGCACTTCAATTTAATTTGCAATTAATTTTTAATGGTAAAGAGTTTTTTTTGTGAAAAGAGTCACAGTTTTCTAAAAGTATGATTTTCAGCATTAAATTGTACTGTGTTTCAAAGATTTTTAAAAACAGAAATGAAATAATGATAGAAATACATGTAATATATTATATTTGATATGATTTATATAAATGTCAATTATGAAGATTCTATGTTTATTTGATAGGAAATATCAAAACTGACCTCAAGAAATGATGAGTTAGAAAAAGCTAGACTTGCTAATGTTCCACTGGATACTGCAAAAGAAATCCAAAATCTCCAAGCCAAACTGGTAAATACACTTATTTTTTATATCTTCTGAACTTAATATAGTCTTTATAACAGTAGACATAAAAGGGTAAAGTATTATGAGTGATAAATTTTCATGTTTAAATCATTCAGGGTAAAGTAAGCTAAGATTTTAGGAGGATTTTTTTTATCTACTTGATGTTTCTGTTAAATCACTGTAAAGTTTTTATGCCCCAATGTGGCCGGGGGGGTATAAAGTGTTACCCTTGTCTGTCTGTCTGTACATCCATTTCCGTTCTCTAACTTTAGTTTGCCTCAACCAAATGTTATGAAACTTATACACAATGCTTATAACCACAAAACACAAATCAAGTTCGAATTAGGGTTGCGTCACTTTTTTCTGTTCTTGAGTTATGTCCCTTTATAATGCTATATGGAAGTGGGGGCACTATCTGTGTCCCATGGACACATTCTCCATTTATTTTATTTTTGTTTTTGACAAACTTACATTCTAAGGCTTATTTTATTTCAGGCTCTCTTAGAGAAAGATAAAAATAAATCAGGGACTGAGACTACAGCTCTTCAAGGACAGATATCAGAACTAAAGGTCAAACTAGAGAATGCAAATAAAAATCTAGAAACACAACGAGCTACCGCTAGGGAAACTGAGGTTTGTAACCTATTCACAGTATTATATTTGTTAAGTAATATTGTTTAAAGCTAATCTGAGTATAGTTACTTTTTATATCTTATAGTACTCATTAAATGTGATTGTCTTCAATAAGATATTATTCAGTGAACATGAAAGATAAAAATTAGGTAATGCTAAAACAAATAATTAACACCGCTTGTGATGATTTTATCCATTGATTTATCAAGGCTTTCCATTGTTAAAGAACCTAAATTGTCTAATGGTAGCATGCTCACATTGAGTGCAAGTGGACATTATTTCAATCCCAGGCTGGGTCATACTAAAGACTTTTAATTTTGTTTTTGCTGCTTCTTCACCAGTATGAAGCATTTATGAGTAAAAGCAAAGACTGCGAGTAGGGAATATGTCTTCTGCTGAACTGTTACCCTGCAAGCTAGCAAGAATGTGTGTAGGACCAGAACAAATCAGGGTAAATTCATATCTAATTAACATATTGTTGTTCTAAATATGCCTTTAATATTTGCTGCTCGATTTTGAGCATCCATTGGTTATCAGTGGTTTGATGTGACAAGAGTTTATAAGTAACTTTTGCTTGTAAGAAAACCTTAATTTTGTAGGCTAAGGTGAAGAATGCTAAAACAGAGAAGGATAAAGCTGTGAGAGAGGCTACCTCACAAATGGAAAAGAAAGAACAACAGAGAATAAATGAAGACAAGAAAAGGATTTCTGCTCTTGAGAGAAAAATAAAAGAATTAGAAACAGTGAAACCTGTGGTATAAATTAACAAGTTATAATAATACACATTAGACAGAGATTTGAAGAAAAAATACAGGACATCAATAATCAAACACTATAACAATCATATAAAAAAATCCCTCATCAATTATATTCCATCTTTCAAATACATGAAAGAAATACTTATTCCATTTTTCAGTTATTCATGACTGATGTTTCAGGGTCAGGGAGAAATTATAATTTTTACTTTTATGGTGTTTTATATTATATTTGATGCCTGGATATACAGAGTAATTGAAGTCAAAATTATTTTTTTTATTTTGATGAAATTTAATGACTGGGAAAGAAGCTACAATTTTATATAAATTAGATGAAATGAATTATTATTCAAGGTCAGGGAGAATTCTATTTTCTTGTACTTTTGACTTATTATTAAATGTAAGGGTTAAATGATTGCTCCATGTTGACGGATGTTTATTAACAGTACTTATTATTCAGGGTAAGGGAGTGGCAGTTACAGCAGTAGGTTCTGACACTGCATCACAGAACATGAAGGCACAAGTTGTAAACCTGAAAAGGGAAAACAATGAGGCCAACACCAGGATAAAACATCTAGAGCTTGAACTGAAGAAAGGAGGAGGACGACCTGGAACTGCTGCTGGTGGTGATGATGTAAGTCTGTTGTTTAAGAATTTTAAAAGTTCTACATTTATTTGGATCTTTATAACTGTATAAAGATATTCTGTTGATTTTGAAAACTTTTATCTCATAGGCTATCAATTTTTATTATCTGACTATATGACTATATTTACTAGTAATTAAGCTGACTAGACATTTCAGCATGTGCACTCCTGTTTTGGCATTTGTGATTAATATTTTTAGTACTTTAAAAACAGAAAAATCTCCAGAAAAGGCATGAGAAGATCCTGAAAGAACTTGAGAAGAAATTAGAAATAGAAAAAAACAAAACAGAGAAATTACAAGAGTCTTTAAAGGGAACTGAAGAGGATTTGAAAGATACAAAGAAGGTAATGAAAACGAAATATTTTAAAAGTTGTTATTTTCATGGTGTACTTGTAAAATACTTCAGATTAGAATTCTGTAATACTGAATATAAGATCAAAAGATATAGATAGGCTTTTACATGTAAGTACAATTCAAAAGCACAATTCATTGGAGAGGGAATTTAGTGGAAAATAAGTTGGCATATTTTGCAATAAATTTCTTCAATTGTAATACACTATATATGTATGACAAAATTGTCTATTCATGTGAGCTATGTGTTGTAATAGGTAAAATATATTATTTATGTCATGATGTATTTACTTTCAGGATAGAGATAACAAAGCCAATGAATTGAGGAAGTTAGAAGCAGAGTTAGGTGCCCTTGGAGTAGCAGCAAAGGAAGGAGTAGAAGCTGCCAGTAAGGTCAAAGGTCTAGAAAAGGAAAACAAGGGATTAAATGAAGAAAATAAAGTTCTGACAGAGAACTATAATACAGAAAGGGTAGGTTTTTACAAATAGAAATAATTTTTTAACCATTATGAATAGAAAATTCTTCAACAGTTGTAAACAGAAATAATTCTTTGACTATTATATTATGAAACAAATTTATGTTTTTAATTAATTACTGGCTATTGTTCTCATAATCTTGAAAAGAATTGTTTTTTTCAGTGGTTAATTTTCGTGTTAGAATTTTATATTATAAGTCGGATATTGAAATTTTATTTCTGTTTGGAGTCGGACATTGGAAGCAGGAACATCACATATAACAGTGCAGTGCAAATTCTTCTTTTCTTTTATTGAATCCTCAGAATCTTTCATATGTTTTTATTTCTTTAGATGGTCAGTTTGTTTTTAAAGTCATGGAAGATCTAGTTTTATCAAGATTCTAAATCTAAAAAAATCAATCTGATTAAAATACAGATCATATGTCCATGCTTCGCTTACAAGGATCTGACAACAATCCATCCTACTTTCTGTTTTGATAAATTTCATATTATCCAATGAATTTTTTGTCTCCAAATTTTTGAAGGTGTGTATCATTACAACAAAACCTGAGGATCCTGATAGAAAGTAGAATGGAGCGTTTTCAGATCCTTATAAGTGAAGCATGGACACAGGATCTATATTTTAATCATATTTTGAAAAAAATATACATAATAAAGCTGATGTTTTGAAAAATTGGATATTTTTAACATTTGGTAGGGAATAAACTTAAATTTGATAATGACCATACATGTTACTACTAACCTTCCTTCATATTTTGTATTGTTAAGAAATGAAATGATTTCTTGAAAAAAACTTTGAGTTAGACAGCTTCATAAGGCAAATATTTTTGTCAACTGCAAAAAAAAAAAATGCTTCAAACTTTTGTCTGTTGAACAGGTTCTGAGGAAGAAATATTACAACATGGTTGAAGACATGAAAGGAAAGATCAGAGTATACTGTAGAGCTAGACCCTTGAGTAATACAGAGTTAGGCAGAGTAAGTATACTGTAGAGCTAGACCTTTGAGTAATACAGAGTTAGGCAGAGTAAGTATACTGTAGAGCTAGACCTTTGAGTAATACAGAGTTAGGCAGAGTAAGTATACTGTAGAGCTAGACCCTTGAGTAATAAAGAGTTAGGCAGAGTAAGTATACTGTAGAGCTAGACCCTTGAGTAATACAGAGTTAGGCAGAGTAAGTATACTGTAGAGCTAGACCCTTGAGTAATACAGAGTTAGGCAGAGTAAGTATACTGTAGAGCTAGACCCTTGAGTAATACAGAGTTAGGCAGAGTAAGTATACTGTAGAGCTAGACCCTTGAGTAATACAGAGTTAGGCAGAGTAAGTATGATGCAGAGCAACCTGTAGGCAGATAACAAAATTGGATTCATGAGTTACAATGAGTTTGACAGATTATACTCACCACAGATATAGACCAATGAGAAATGTTATTGAGATAAAATATACATGTATACTGGGTTTTCCTTGGGAGTATGTAATATAAAGAAATTTAATTTACAGCAGAACTGAACCCATCAGATTTAAGTTGTATCTGTGAAAATATTAAGTGGCATTTATTTTGAATATAGATTGTTTTCACTACTGGATTTATTTATTTTCGTTGCTACCAATTTTCGTGGATTGTGTAAAATTGTAGTTTTGTGGATATTTGGTTTTGTGGTTTTGCCAAAGTCTGCGTACAAGCCTATAGAAAATTTGTATTTTGTTCAACATTTAAATTCATGGTTCACCTCTACAAACAAAATTCCCTAAAAATGGTATCCCTCGAAAATGATGAATCCATGGTATTTATTAAGTTCAAATCTAATTTGTAAAGCATGCAAAAAAATTGCATTGTAGCTACTGGACTAACACCCTTATATTAATTTGTTAACTGATCTGTTAAAATTAGAATTATATACCTTTCAATACTTTGAATGTGTAATTTAATCCAAGGAAATAAGCTTTTTGTGTCATATCCATCACACTCACAAAAGCAGGAATCAAAGCAACTTATAAAAGCAAGTTTTTTAATTTCCATTGCTGGTTAGATACAGAAATTATTTTCTTGTCATAACTTTTTAATGCCTTCCTTTAAACTTTTGCCAGCTAGACATTAAACAGCTATCTCTGAAGATGCTACATTGAAATATGTTTTATTATTATAGGGTAATAGATCTGTACTGAAATCCCAGGATGAGTACTCCATTACCGTGGAGACACAGAGAGGTATAAAAGACTTTCAGTTTGATCAAATTTTCATGGAAGATTCAACACAAGAGAAAATATTTGAAGACACTAATGTAAGTTAACAGAATGATTATTTGTGAAATTACTTTTTTTTATTACCGACATACTAGTTTTGGCTAAACTGAAACAAGGGGTCATTATGATCTATTGTATTTGGCAATCAAGTGAAGTGCACAAAAATATCCCCCTTGTGAACAAGGTTAATATCAGCAAGGTCTTGTAAGAGTGTTGACCGACAATTTTTACAGGAGTTATGCCTTAAAAACTATATGGAAAGTATCAATCGTTTTTTATATAGATTAGACCGTTGTTTTTCCTGTTTGAATGGTTTTACACTAGTCATTTTTGGGGCCCTTTATAGCTTGCTGTTCGGTGTGAGCCAAGGCTCCGTGTTGAAGGCCGTACTTTGACCTATAATGGTTTACTTTTACAGATTGTACTTGGATTGAGAGTTGTCTCAATGGCACTCATGCCTCATCTTCTTATATCTATTGAACGTTTTATCTGGCGCCAACCTTCACCCTAACCTGAGACAGTGGTGTAACAATACAACATAAAAGGACACACTATAAAACATTAATTGAAAAAAGGCTCAACTCATCAAAGTATGAATACTAACAGATTTTAGACAAAAGTTAGACCATGAAAACTAAATTACCAAATAGTTAAATTATAAACCACAGAAAAATATATCACAGCCAAAACCAGTATGAAATAATTTTGCCAAACAACCGGTCACTTATGGACCACTCAAAAAGAGCTTGTTGAGAAGGATCTTTAACGTGCAAAGAGCGTGGTACTTGTTGGCTTGTTAAGCTCATGCTTATTGGTTGATGATATATTTTTATGTTTGTAAGAAATTATAAATGTGTTGGAGCTTGAGTTAATGATTTCAAACTTTGCTCATATATCAATTAAATAAAAGAAATGTTTTGATCTGCATTTTAATTTCATTGTGTTAGTGAACTAAGAAAGCCTGGAAAATTGCTACTTATCTGAAAAATTGCTGAATAGTATCAAAGATATGAAGGGAAAAAAAAGATTTTTAATGGACTGTATAATTTCACTAATTAAATGTTGATTGTTTATTTTAGAACCTTGTACAATCTGCCGTTGATGGTTACAATGTCTGTATATTTGCCTATGGTCAGACTGGTTCCGGAAAGACATTTACTATGATTGGAGACAAGGACCAAAAATTTCCAGGAATTGCACCAAGAGCTTTCAACAGAATCTTTGATCTTATAAATGAATTAAAGTACTTAATTTCTGTTAGTTAACTAGTGCCATGTCAACTTGTATTACTAAGTTTAGTTACATTATGCCAACTTGTGCTACTATTACTATGTTACTTGAAATCAAACTAATACTGAATATTCTGTTAAAGTTTTATTTTTCTAAATACAATGTGAGGAAAATATAAATATAAAACCCCTCTGTTCACATTGTGAGGTGAATGCCTATTGGAAACTTTTAAAATCCAAAAATTCAAGTGTTTACATTAACGATTGTTTTTAAGGTCAAATTTGAAGTTGTACAATGTATTGGATTTGAAACTAGTTGTGTATCAATTTCTTTATTTGAAAATCTTTTTGTTTCAGATCAAAATCTGACATCACCGTGACAGCCTACATGATGGAGTTGTATAATGACAGACTGATAGATCTTTTTGCTAAACCTGGACATTCTAGTGATGTAAGTTCATACCTAATTCTTTATTTACACTAACAAGTTCTGTTGTATTGAATCTTAGAATAACTGAAAAGTGAACATGTTTAAAAAAATGTTTTCAGTTCAACTGAAAGGCAAGTACCGATAAATGAAACATGGTTGGTCCAACATTAAATGCTATTTCAAACAGCCACATAAATGAAAATAAAATTGGCAGTTGACTGACAAAATTGAGTCCATGACAAATAGATAAAGCAATTGAAGTTGACCAAAATAGTTCACTTACTTCTTTCAACATGAGTAATAATTGCATGTGCTTTATCAGTTGACAGTGTGAAAAATGAAAATAAACATGAAAAATTCAGTGCTTGTTGTTGGTTTATGTCTTTCAGAATTGAATTGTTATAAATTTGGCTGTTATTTTTCTTGTTTGAATTTTTTCACATGTCTATGTCAAGGCCTTTTATAGATGACTATATAGTATGGGTTTTTTTCTCATTGTAGAGGGCCCTATGGTGACCTTTAATTGCTTACATCCATGTCATTTGTCTGGTGGATAGTTGTGATTTGATGTCTGGTGGATAGTTGTTTCCTTATTTTGATCTGAAAACTCATTTCACATGCCTGCGTTTTCTCTAGGTCTTTAAGTCTAAATTGCTTCCTCAACAATGCTAATTTTTACTCATATGTAAGGATAATTCAAAAGCCTATAGTATATTTTACTTCTTCAATACACAATGAAACCTGCAACCATGAAGTTTTCTAATATTCTTATTAGCAATACTGTTTTTTATATAAAATAAGGAGATGTGGTATGATTGCCAATGAGACAGCTATCCACCAAAGTTCAAATTAAGCGGATGTAAGCAATTATAGGCATAAAATGGCCCTTACATTAAAAATATGAAACAATTCAATTAAGAAAACTAATGGCTTTTAAGCTGGATGTCACAAAAGGAAATAGATTTCAGTATGCCAAATTGAAATAAACTACATTCTTTAAAGAAACATTCCTGTTTGGAATTGAATTTACAGTTATTTACCATCTTAGTCTTACTGTTCAGTCCTAGAATTATTTCTAATGTGGTTTAAATCTATATTTAGGACAAGATGGACATCAAAGTAGACAAGAAAGGATTGGTATGGGTTAAAGGTGCTGTCATCAAGGAGGCACATAATGCTAAGGAATTGTTTGCCTTGTTTCAAGAAGGAAGTGTAAACAGACACACTGCATCTACTAGTAAGTTAAATAAGCAAGTCCAGTCTAAACAATATTTCATCAAGCTTTCATATTATGTATAATTTAAAAGTATGAACTTTTGCAATCACTGTGATCATGAGCTGTCTGTAAATTTTCTTTAAACATCTCCTTTGAAACTGCTCATAAGTTGTTAAATATATTGAAAACCGGTTAGATTTCAACCCATTAACCATATATTTATATATTCTTATTTGCCTTCATAAAAACTTTTAATACTAGAATCTTTTCCTTACTGGAATTACTTCTAGAAATAAAGGGAAGACCATCTGGTTTATTTTGATTTAATATTTTGTTCGAGACGATATTTACTAATATTTGCACAGTAACAGTAATGCTGAGAGACTCATCTGCATGAATAATTCAGTTGCATGATATAGAATATAAAGTTAATTTAATTTTCAGAAATGAATGATGAAAGTTCTAGGTCCCATTTGATCATCAGTCTAGTGTTGGAAACTACTAACAAAATGACAGGACAGACAGCCAAAGGAAAGGTAAGCTTTAATCTAATCAATCTCGTGTATTACATATTTAAAATGAATTGGGGGAAATGATTTTCCAGTTATATTTATATATCGCTCCCTAAAAGAATTTTACCATTTTTCTATATCTTTTATTTGTTCAACTTCCTGTGTTTATGAATTCTTCAATCTATTTGATTTTTTTACAGTGACATGAGACTTTATAATAATTCTATAATGAATCAATAAAAAACCATATAGGTTAAATATTTTAAAATTATTTTATAGCTGAGTTTGGTTGATTTGGCTGGTAGTGAAAGAGTAGGAAAGACTGGAGCATCTGCAGACCAGCTTAAAGTAAGTCGTTTTACAATAAAACTGCTAGTCTTTTTGTGTGAATTGATTTTAAAAATATGCCAAAGTAAGCATGTTCGTTCCCTCCTGGTTACCAGATTGGTAAGGAGTTTTGTTCTTAAATGATTTGTGATTTATTTTAAAAAACTAGATATTATTCATTTGACTTGAAAAAAGATTAGAATAAAAAGAAATTGAAAGAGCCTGGGTGGTTAAATAAGAAGCTACATGCTAAAAATTGAGACAACAGAACTGGAAGGTCTTTAATAATGAGTCAGACAAAACACACAGATACATATGCCCATTAGTTCTTGTGATGAATGAAATATAAGTGTCTCATAGACGTATATTTTATTCATAATTGAAAATGGCATTTTATACTATCATACATGCAATATTTCTCAAAGAATGTTAAAAATTGTCGTAAATATTTAAACAAGGAAATTAAATATGTTACCAGTATCATTATTTCAAACACTGCATTTTTGTAATGTGAGTTTTGATTAGACAACAATGACAAATTTCATAGTGATAATAAAATTTAATATTTCATCTGTCAGGAAGCCATGTCTATTAACAAATCTCTGTCAGCTCTTGGTGATGTGATCTCTGCATTGAGTAGTGAGCAGCAGTTCATCCCGTACAGAAACAACAAACTGACCATGTTAATGCAGGATTCTCTTGGTGGCAACGCCAAAACTCTTATGTTTGTCAACATTTCACCTGCTGATTATAACCAGGATGAATCAGTTATTTCCTTGACGTAAGTTTTGATAAAAAATATGTTATAGATTTTAGATTCAAGGATATTTTTTAACATTTTCACAGCATTTATAGTTGTGAACCTTTCTAATCATCTAAAAGAAAAATGTTAAAATTACTTTAATTTAAATTGTTATTGCATATTAATATAAAAATAAGGAGATGTGGTATGATTGTCAATGAGACAACTATCCATGAATCATATATTGCTATTAAATTATCTTGTATAATCAGGATAGAATGAAGTAATTGTCTTCTTGTCTTTTTATATCTTTTGACATTAATTTTCTTACAGGTATGCTTCTAGAGTTAAGCTTATTACAAACCAGGCTTCCAAGAATTCTGATAATAAAGAAATTGCCAGACTCAAGTCTGTAAGTAGATTTATTTGATTTAGAATTAAGATTAATACTACATGTATTATTTAGGATTTTGATGAAACATAGATGGCAAACAAGAAGATGTTTTTAAAAGTATTTAAAAATGAGTAATATTTGCTACTAATTTCAACCATGTCTACACTATCTTTATAGTTTTTATATGCCTGTTTATGGGACGTATTATGGTATACCGTTGTCCGTCTGTCCATCAGTCTGTCGTCAACATGTCGTACAATAACTCAAAAATGCTTAAACCAATTTTCATGAAACTTTGGTGATTTTTTTATATATTTTGACGTAAGCTCCCTTTTGATTTTTATAAATTCTAGATTTTACATTTCCCAGTTATGGGATTTTATTCATAAAAAAAGGAGGAATTTTCCAGTTTTCGGACAATAACTCAAAAATGCTTTGAGCAGTTTTCATGAAACTTTGGTGACTGGTTTATATCTATTAAAATAAGCTCCCTTTAGTTTTTGTTATAAATTTCTGATATAACATTGAGGTGCAATGGAACTTTATTCGTTGAAAAAGGGACGTGCGTATCATTTATTTTTATTTAAATAAGATCTGGAATATATGAATGCTAACATGATTATATAATGCTGACGAAAGAGATTTGAAAATGACAATGTTTCATTATAAGTCAAAGCTTTTACCATGGTACTCATAGAATAGGAAATACACAATAAAAATCAAAAATTTTATTATACTTAAAGAATTCACATTTAAATTCTCCCTCGCCTACTCGTCCAAATGTAAGTATTTCTTTACTTAATACTCAATACCTTCGTATGAATAAGACAAAACATCTAATATAGGTTTGGTTGCTCGCAGTAACTTGTTCTTTTCTCTTGCAAACTGTTTAATAACATTATAATCAAAATTGTCCAACACATCATTATATGTAAATGAACTTAAATTCTAAATGATTCATATTCATAAATATGACAATAAACGGTAAACTGTACGTTGTAGTTACTGTGAGCACCTTCGACGAACTGACAGCTCAACAGTTTCTTTATATAATATAACAGAACCCCACCCTTTAAACCACCAAAGGATTTCATGTGCATATATAATCAATATATCTAAATCCAAAATAACAATAACCCATTTTACAACTTCTCTAACCAGTTTTGAATATATTTAACTATATTTAATGCAGGGGAAATCACTATAGTCAAACGAAAAGAAATATATTTCAATTGATATCCTATAATTTCAGATAATTGCCAAGTTGAAGGCTGGAGAAGCTGTGGATGATGAAGATGCATAGTAAAAAATTATGACAATAATATCAAATAATGTTAATGCAAAAAAAAAACTTTCTTTATTCTGTTTCATTTACTGTCAGAGAACTCAAACACATACTGTTATGATCTGGATATATTTTAAATGAAATCCTATTTTTATTTCCATGGAACACAGTGGAATGGAAAAAAAAACAAAAATATTTTGAACATTAGTTTTAATCCTCTAATTTGCATAAATTTCACTGATTTAGGTAATACTTGTTTACTGTAAATGCATGATAGTTTCCCAACTAATTGTGCCTAGCTATCTGACATTTAAAACAGTTTTAATTGATTTAAAAGAAAATTATCCTGTTTTCCCCCAAAGGAAGATTTAACATAATTTTTAGTGAACAGTTATGTGCATGCACAATCTATTTGATCAAATCAAATTCAGTATATATTTTTTAACTCTAATTATTAATTAACCAAATTAGAACATATTACAGTGGTTATTGTTAACCACAGGATTGGTAGTAGAACTAATATCATTTTTATTGAACTTAGTTTGTTAAGGATGACAATTTCATATTTTACATTTATCTTTATTTTAATAACTTAATTTTTCATGTTTTGAACATTCCATTACAATTCAAAAGATGATTTTCATTGTTAAGAAAATGAAAGAAATTGATGTATGCCTACAATAGAAATTTTAGGCATATTTTTTTTTATTCATAAACTGTAATAAAAAAGTTTTGAGAGCTGAAATTTTAAGATTTAGGATTAAAATAATTATTAATGTTTAATTGTACTAACCACATAAGGTATGTTATTTTTTGTTCAGGTTGTGATAAAATGTTTTGATATGATAATAAGCTTTATATTTCTCCAACAATCCTTCCAATTTTTAATTAAAATTTATATTTAAATTTAATACTTTTATATATATGCAAGTCATATTGTTATCATGTGATGTATTATTGCCGTCCAATTGTTATTTTTATACTTTAAAGGCTGGTCCTTATAGTCTGTATATTATTAAATTGTTACTTGTGTATTTCATATATACATACATATTGCATTTTAATCACTTTTTAATTGTGTTCTTCAATAACTTTCCAGTGATTTTCTTTTCAAGTTTGATGATGTTTTTACTGAATGCTTCCTTTTCTGTGCAATAATTTGGTACATAATGTGTGTTTTGTTGCTGTCTCATCTTTTCTGTCTTTTCATATCAAATTTTATTTATTTACATATCAAATTTTATTTATTATATAGTTTGGTCTTATTACAAAAACATTGTTTGTAGTTGGTAAAACTTTTAAATTTTGTCTAGGTAAAATGTAAATTTTTTTTAATTCTGATCATTTCATTGGACATGAAATGGAAGAATACTATGTAATCAGATAAGGGAAATGTCACAATTTAACGTTTATATAATGGAATGTTACAAAATTTTTTTTACTGTTCTGACAATGAACCAATTCAAAAATGAAAAGGAGGACAGGCTTTTATTAAACACAAAATGTCTGATGGTGTGTCGTTAAAAAATGAAATAAATTTTTTGGGACAATTTCATTTGAATATAATTGACATATAATTTTTGAAAAGATTTACCATTTAATAGTTTTAATATCCTTTCTTCATTATATTTATGTAGAATTAATAAAGTGCAATGATAGTAATTTAGATGTTTTATTTTAAGCTCACCTGGCCTAATGGGCCAAGTGAGCTTTGCCCCATCACTTGGCGTCCGTCGTCCGTTAACTTTTACAAAAATCTTCTCCTATGAAACTGCTGGGCCAAATTTAACCAAACTTGGACACAATCATAATTGGGGATTTACTTTAAAAATGTTTGCATCCAACGACCCCGCTTGCCAACCAAGATGGCTGACATGGCTAAAAATAAAACATAGGGGTTAAATGCAAGTTTGGTCTTATTATTTTGAAAACCATTAAAATAGAGAAAATCTGACAAGGTCAAAACTGTTCAGAATGTTGAGCTCTTCCAATTGTCCATCTATGTCAAAACTGTCAGGTGACTTCTTATAGGAGTTATTGCTCTTAAATGACAAATTTTACCATTTTTTAAAATTTTTGCCTATTATCTTGAAACCTATAATAGATAGAGACAATTTAAGTTGCAAAAATAATCAGCAAGTCAAGATCTACAAATAAGTTGGCATGTTTGAAATCGTCAGTTGACTCCATATTAAAGTTTTTGCCCTTTGATGTTGATTTTTACCAATTTTTTGTGTTTTTGCCTAATGTCTTGAAAATTAGAATAGATAGATTGAAACTTAAAAAAAGAAAAAATGATCAGCAAAACAAGATCTACAGTTAAAACAATATGGAGGAAATTTACTGACGACTCCTTATTGGAGTTATTGCCCTTTAATGATGATTTTATGAAATTTTTTGCATTTTGTCTTATATGATAAAAATTATAATAGATATAGAGAAACTTTAAATAACAAAAATGATCAGCAAGACAAAGTCTACAAACCAAGTCAAATTTTGCCGATATAGTAGACTGAAACTCTCATAGGAGTGATTGCATTCATATTTTTCTTGTCCATCTTCTTGCATATAATTTGTGAAAACGACATTTTGATCTCAACAGTCCAGTGGTATGTTTGTTATGTATTCATATAAGTTTCTTGTTAACTTTACATCTATTAGTGATAAAGTAGATCCCATATTTTTCTATTTCTTAAGATAGGCAATAATTTTACAGCAACTTAATACTGAATTAGAAACAGATCTTGGTATCCTATTCAAAAATATATTTTGTAGTTTGATACATACTACCAGTAAGGTATAATTACTGATACCATACTTGATAAATACTGTTAATGTTTTAAAAGTTTAACTTTAACCAGAACACCATTAAAGAAGCCTCAAGTTGTTGAATGCTAAAAACCTTACAATACCATTTAAACATTCCATATTAAAGGCCCACTCTAATTCAGGGTATATTGCATTCATCTCTTTCTGTTTGTCTGTTCTTCTCTTAGTCCAACAAATATTTCTGTCTCATATTTCTTAGGATAGAAGTACGGGCTATATTACAATCCTTATGTCCATCTTTCTGTTTGTCCATTCATTTGCTCATCTAACAAATATTTTCATCACACAGTTATCATAAACTACTGAACAAAATGGCTTCATATTTAGACAGCATCTTGACAGTGATGAATTGTATTGTGTGAGCACTTTTCAGATTTGTCAGACACCTACTTCCTATTTGATGATATTTTAAATTTTTAATATGTTGAATGAACTTGAAATTTTTCATCAAATTTTTCTCAAGTACTACTGAACAGAATTAACTCAGATTTAGTCAGCAGCTATCAATGATGACTTGTAATGTGTGAGAGCTTTTGGAATCTGTCAGTCACCTACTTCCTGTTTTCTTATACATTGAATTACCAGGGGGAGGGCTGGGGTTATGCTTAGCACAACAACATGTTCAATCTAGTTCATATTCATGCAAGTCTTGATAAGTTATGAATGAGTTTAACAGAGACAGCAGATCAAATATAAATCATTGGTCAATGCCAAATATTTAAAAAATAAACAAAATATAGAAGACAAGGACAACCACTTACAGGCTCACTGACTTTAGACTTGTACATAAATATAGCAGGGTGTAATTTGTGAAGTCAAATATATGTCATAATTGATATATTTGAACTAAACTGACCATTTACATATAGTTTTTAGTAAAATTAGATATGAGCATCAGCATAAAGCAAGGAATTATTTGAATCTGGAATAATTTTGAATTCTGGAAAATTGATCTTAAATGTATGATGAAAACTAACCGAACTAAATAGGGTTAGCCATCATGGCTATGGTTCAGGTTACTTTAGCCAATATTTCAGTATGAACTAACTAACCCCCTTGCCATGCGTGCAAGTCTAACCCTGTTTAGTTGGGTTAGATTTCATCATACATTTCTTATCAATTTTCCAGATTCAAAATTATTCCGGATTCAAATAATTCCTTGTTCTAAATGTAATTTTGGGGAGATAAAGATCCTCCCCTCATTGATTCAGTCAAGAGAAGAACCGAGCAATGATACAAGGAGTGGACTATGTAAATTCAGAAATTATTGCGATGTTTTTATTAATGCGAATAGTGCACCTGGGTGAGTATTGCAATAATAAGAACTCGCATTCTGATATCTGATACTTATATCTTTATGCAGATTAGCCTTAAATCTGTACCAGGTCCAATACTGAAACAGCCAGTTAATAACACTATATTATCACAAATGCAGCTCTCTGTTATCACAATATGAGGCCCTGCTCCAAAATAAAGAGCCAATAAAAAAAATCGATTTATTTAATGCCTTTCAGACAAGTTTAAAAGGTATGTGATCTGTTACTTATAAAATAATTTATAGAGGTATGATCAGAGCTTGCATTTGATCCCATCAAGAAAGTAAATATTTCAATCATTTCAAAATGATGTTAATTTCATTGATAAATTCTCACCACTTGGGTACAGAAGTGTCATTAGTGATGTCAAAAAACATGTCATAATTGACATACCGCTATTTGAACACAAGAGTGCACATGCTGAAATGTCTCGCCTGCTTTACCGATCATTGATTTTATGTTGATAGTCATAAATATAAAGCTTTACTACAAATATTACATAAACTTAACATGATCCAAGATAATGAGGCCAAGGTCAGATAAACCAAACCGGAAATACATGTACACCTTACAATCATTCCATACACAAAATAGAGTTGACCTATTGCTTATAGTTTCTAAGAAACATACTTAACCAGGAAAATTGAACATTGACCAATGAACCATGAAAATGAGGTCAAGGTCAGATGAACCATGCCAGACAGACATGTACACCTTACAATCAATCTATGCATTAAATATAGTTGACCTATTGCTTATAATATCTAAGAAACAAACTTGACCATGAAAATTTAACATTGACCAATGAACCATGAAAATGAGGTCAAGGTCAGATGGTCCGGGTACACAGTTATCGTCCTTTGATTTTCGTTGTCCACGAATATAGTCCCTAGTGTGGACAGTGTGTTACTTGTCGATTTTTTTTATACCCCTTCCAAATTTATTTCTCCATGTTTTATGACTCAAATAGTAAGTAGGGGGGTGAAATGACACTGTAAAAAAAATTGGGTCATGAATTTTAAAGTAAAGTAGTGATTTGGTCCAGCTGAAAAATGTTAAAAATAAGCACTTCGGAAGCTGTCAAAAGATTTGAAGACCCCATTAACATGAAATTGTCCATATTTTGAGTTAGAGCCGATGAAGTTTTCTATAATTTTGATATAATTTGTCCCAAAAGTAGTACAACACACTGTAAAAATATTATTGAGAAAGCGCAGGTGGGATTTTTTTAATTTTCATTTATTGTCTAAAAGAAATGCACTACGAAATAACTGTGTACTCGGACCTAAGAGGTGAAATCAGGAAATATAGAATCTGTACTTTGGCAACTTCCCTGAATGATTTGATGGTGTCAATTTATCAAATAGCATAAAACTAAAGGATTTAAACTTTTATTTGATGGAATTTCTGCAAAAATGACCAATTTTGGCATTTTATGGTCAAAATAAGCATTTCATAGCTTTTTCAATTTTGATGCATAAGTGGCATTCTGACTTTCTATCTGACAGGTTTTTATGTCAATATTTGTGTTTCTATGCTTCAATCCAGTTGTATTACTCATTTGTGAACTCTGAATCTACAGAAAAGAAGATTATCTCAGACAATATGTGCAAAATGTGTTGTATATATGATCCTCGTCTAACGCCCTGTTTGGATCAAGTTAAATGTGAGGAGCTTGGAACATAAAAGTTGAAGTCCATTATAAAGACCTCACTAAATTTGTATAAAAAGCACTTAACAATGTCTTCTGTACCTGTTTTATGTCACATAATATCTTTCTTTTCTTCTGTAGGATAGCAAGTGGTTCAAATATAAGCCTGTTGAGACTAAAATTGCATGCATGTTTTTCACTAAAAAGTGAAAAATCTTTGTATCAGACCATACTGTCTGCAAAAAAAGTTGAATGCAAGAGTCTTTTTGTGCTCAGATTTATTGTATCATGTCACCTGAGTATAGAAATGATAGAAAGGACACAAAATTTTATTTCCTATAGCTTCAATATGCATATTTAAATGTAAATATGTGATACGGCCTAAATTGACCCTAAATTATTTTCAGTCTTACTTGGCCTAAGACCCTTTTAAACTAATGTGATATGTTATTTGTAAGTTTTCTTTCCATTTAAAGTACATTAAATACATATGTAAGGATTATTTATAACCAAAAAGCTTTACAAATTTAAAATTGCTGGAAAATATTACATCTTCATGTAAGGCCCCCCTTCATTGGAAAACCTCCGTTTTTAGCCACAGGCTCATATAAATTTGACTTTTCAATAATTATGATAAGTCTGATAAATCAAATGAGTACTCTGTTGCTTTTAATACATAATATATTATATATTAAGGCATTTCAAAAGTATTTTTTTGCAATATTTTAATTTTTTAAGCCCCAAATGTTGATAGTTGAAAATTTTCAATTTTAACGTCTAAATTTAACACGCAAAGTTGAATATAGAATTAGTCATATTGTCTATAATATATATCCTATTGCCATGAAACTTTGTAAGCAGTCTTATAATTTAATAAGCTTTGGTCATACCAAGTTTCATTAAGATTGGTCAACTTTTTCCACCCTATTAGGTCCGGGTACACAGTTATCGTCCTTTGATTTTCGTTGTCCACGAATATAGTCCCTAGTGTGGACAGTGTGTTACTTGTCGATTTTTTTTATACCCCTTCCAAATTTATTTCTCCATGTTTTATGACTCAAATAGTAAGTAGGGGGGTGAAATGACACTGTAAAAAAAATTGGGTCATGAATTTTAAAGTAAAGTAGTGATTTGGTCCAGCTGAAAAATGTTAAAAATTAGCACTTCGGAAGCTGTCAAAAGATTTGAAGACCCCATTAACATGAAATTGTCCATATTTTGAGTTAGAGCCGATGAAGTTTTCTATAATTTTGATATAATTTGTCCCAAAAGTAGTACAACACACTGTAAAAATATTATTGAGAAAGCGCAGGTGGGATTTTTTTAATTTTCATTTATTGTCTAAAAGAAATGCACTACGAAATAACTGTGTACTCGGACTAGATGAACTATGCCAGACAGACATGCACACCTTACAATCAATCTATGCATTAAATATAGTTGACTTATTGCATATAGTATCTAAGAAACAAACTTGACCATGAAAATTTAACATTGACCAATGAACCATGATGATCATGAAAATGAGGTCAAGGTCAGATGACACCTGCCAGACAGACATATACACCTTACAATCATTCCATACACCAAATATAGTTGACCTATTGCTTATAGTTTAAGAAAAACAGACCAAAACACAAAAACTTTACACTGAGCAATGAACTGTGAAAATGAGGTCAAGGTCAAATAAAACCTGCAAGACTGACATGTACATCATAAAATACTTCCATACACCAAATATAGTTTACCTATTACATATAGAAGTAGAAAAAAAGACCAAAACCAAAAACTTAGCTTTAACCACTGAACCATGAAAATGAGGTAAAGGTCAGATGACACCTGCCAGTTGGACATGTACGCCTTACAATCATTCCATACACCAATGAAAGAACCTTAGTGAGCGCGCTCAGATACCCCACGTCCACACATTGTCATTGGAGAAATAAAATAAGTGTAAGAAAAAAAAATTGTATCAGAAAAAAAAAATTGAATCATAATTTCCTGTCAATATGCACATCTACATAGTATGTCCTTATTATCTACACAGTTTCATGAAATTCTGTTGTGTGGTTTGAGAGGAGTTGCGATGACAAAAGGTTGCAGTAGTATATTGGGCAAATAAGTTCAAAGGGGTGTAACTCCTGGAAAAAAAATTGAATTGTAATTTCCTGTCGATATGCACATCTACGTAGTATGTCCTTATTATCTGAAAAGGTTTCATGAAATTCTGTTGTGTGGTTTGAGAGGAGTTGCGATGACAAAAGGTTGCAGTAGTATATTGGGCAAATAAGTTCAAAGGGGTGTAACTCCTGGAAAAAAAATTGAATCGTAATTTTCTGTCGATATGCACATCTACGTAGTATGTCCTTATTATCTGAAAAGGTTTCATGAAATTCTGTTGTGTGGTTTGAGAGGAGTTGCGATGACAAAAGGTTGCAGTAGTATATTGGGCAAATAAGTTCAAAGGGGCATAACTCCTGGAAATAAAATTGAATCGCAATTTCCTGTTGATATGCACATCTACGTAGTATGTCCTTATTATCTGAAAAGGTTTCATGAAATTCTGTTGTGTGGTTTGAGAGGAGTTGCGATGACAAAAGGTTGCAGTAGTATATTGGGCAAATAAGTTCAAAGGGGCATAACTCCTGGAAAGATAATTGAATCGTAATTTCCTGTCGATATGCACATCTACATAGTATGTCCTTATTATCTGAAAAGGTTTCATGAAATTCTGTTGTGTGGTTTGAGAGGAGTTGCGATGACAAACTGTTGCAGTAGTACATTAAAGTAAATAAGTTCAAAGGGGCGTAACTCCTAGAAAAAGAATTGAATCGTAATTTTCTGTCGATCTGCACAACTACATAGTATGTCCTTATTATCTAAAAAGGTTTCGTGAAATTCTGTTGTGTGGTTTGAGAGGAGTTGCAATGACAAGAAACAGGACTGACGGACAGGTCAAAAACATTATACCCTCCGCAACTCGTTGCGTGGGGTATAAATATAGTAGACCTATTGCTTATAGTATCTGATATATGGACTTGACCACGAAAACTTAACCTTGTTCACTGATCCATGAAATGAGGTTGAGGTCAGATGAAAACTGTCTGACAGGTATGAGGACCTTGCAAGGTACACACATACTAAATATAGTTATCCTATTACTCATAATAAGAGAGAAATCAACATTACAAAAAAATGCCATAGCAAAAGATAGATATTGCATATCATTTATTGTAATGTAAAGTAGAATATCAAAATACTACTAACATAATTGCATTATAACCCATTCAGTTTGAACAAAACATTCCCTCCGTAACAAATAATAAATGCCTTTATATGTAAGGTACAAACCAATCTGAAAACTCATGAATTTCCATGTTTTTAATATGTCAAAGACCTAAATATGCATTGGTTTGTTTGTACTGTAAATTTTAATTTAAATGCTATAAAATTTTGATTGTATTTACTTATACATGATGGCATGATGCATTTAATAGTTTTATATTTTAGCAACAGAGAATTTATTTTCATACTATATTACTTAGTCCTGTCTTTGTTCAGATATATTCGATATAAGAAAGAGAGACATAAGTCATCAGAAAGTTTCGATTTGTACCATAACATAATCATCCCTTTATCAAAACAAATTAAAAAACATACTGGAATAACAATTTTTTACCATACAACAACAATTTTTCTTGGAAAACAAATCAATAATGAGATTATATGTATTTATAAAAAAAAGAACAATTATGCATTTCTGTAAATTCAGAAAAATGTTGGATTTCCAGTGTCTGTTTTGTAAAAAAAATACAATTCTTAATATAAAATAAACATCTATTGTTCTTTTTTTTTTAATTTAGTAGAGGATTCCTAAGAGGTACATTTACTGAACAAATAGCTTGACATTAAAAGTTTCAAAGTTTCAAAAACAGATGAAAAACAACTTTCCTTCTCATTCATTCAGCTTGTAATGATGACAAATGCGTAGGTGAGCAAGCATGCAAAATTCATAGTACGATTGTGAAAACCTGAGACCCAACTCTTTGATTGAACCAATAAAACATATTTATATATACCTTGTTTCATTTTCTCATATAACAATTAACATTTTTTCAACAACCACAATAAACTAATATTTAACATAACATAATTTTAAATAAACAAAATACAAGGCAGTTTGATGAATCCAAAATATATTAAGTTCAGAAATTATATTAAAAGAGAATCTGTTTAAATACTTTTAAAAGAAAGTATAGAAAATTATTTATTTTTTCAACTATGGCATCAGAAAATATTAAAAATGTTAAGACTAATTTTCTACTCCATTTATACTTAACCTAATTAAAACATTAGTTCTACAAACCCAAATATATTGTGACAAAAAATATGGCACTGTCATTGTAAAGTGTAAGAAAGACAGAAAATCTCAATATAAAGCTGAGAAAATGAATAAACTTGTCACAAACTAGTTTGTGAAATCAACCAAATGTTTTGTACATGTCTAGAACATCTTGAACATCATCTTTAGAACCCATGAACACTGGACAACGTTCATGAAGACTTGTTGGTTGGAGTTCTAAGATCCTTTCTTTTCCTGTTGTAGCTGTACCTCCAGCCTGTTCAACAAGGTAAGCCATGGGATTGGCTTCATACAATAAACGTAACTGAAAATTAAAGTGTATATATATACAAATATTTACAACAGGAATTTTCACAGCATAACAAAACAAACAATCCTTTTAGCTAGAAAATGCTAATACAGGTAGCTGATTTTTTCAATGAAATATGACTGATAAAAGGAGATGTGTCGGGAATAAATAAATGAGAGAACAAACCAACAACTCACAAAATATTTTTAGAGGTTAACATTTGATCTCGAACAATTGACAAGTGAAATATTTATATCAGTGACCAAGATTTTATCCTTTGCATAACACAGATTGAGATTATTCAACAAAATATATTGACTGACTCACAGACTGACAAATGAATTATACATTTATGAAACTTTTTTTTAAAAGTTCTACACGAAGAGAAACATTTTTTAGACGTTCTTTCCATACACATTTGAAATATGTTTGTACAAAGTCAAATTACCTTTCCTTTGGGAGCTTCTGTTGTGGCAGGGTACATAAATATTCCACCATAGACTAAAGTTCTGTGAACATCAGCAACCATAGATCCTATATATCTTGCACCATAAGGCTTTCCACTCTGTAGAAATAATATATATAAATTCATAGAGATGATTGGTAATCATGAATGAAACAGCAAGCCAACACCACAACAAAATCATATATCATCTAGAGGTTGATCATATGATCAAGTAATCAAAGCAACACTACTGTACTTCTTAAGACTGACTAACCACATAAATGAATCTGTTTCAGCAGTTTTTCAGCCTGAACTTTATAAAATTTGTACTTGTTTTTGTAAAAATGTTTAAGAACGATCTGTGGCATTCAACAGTTTCAAATTGAAATGATTTTAATGACTCAGGAGTCCATCATGCTAATTTCGATTTTGAGAATGTTTCAAGTTGATTATAAATTACGAATGAATACAGAAATATAATACAGGATTTTTATATTTTTTTTTAATTTTAATTTTTTGAAAAGTTATTTAATAATAGAGTAAATCATTTGAACTTGTTCAATTTGGGAGAAATGACAGCACCATAAATGCGTACTCTTGTGCTGCAACTTATTTGTGCCAATAATATGCTTGCCTATCTCATTTTCAAACTTCAAAGTTGTTTTAATGACATATTTTAAAAGGATGCTGTTTAAAATGAACAAACCTAGTTTTAAACAAATTCCAAGGTGATTGGCTGAAGTTTCTTTCATACAAATAAAGCAGCATAACATTATATTTTTTTTATTACCTTTGGGTATTTTTTACTTTCAACATATTTGGCTGTTGCCTGATCCCAGTACTGTGAGTATCCTTCATTGATTGAGTAGATTTTCCCCCTTGGTTTTATTTTAATATCTGGCTCGGTCAAAATAAATTCTCCTATAGCCTGAAATATAAAAAAAATAAATGTGGATATTGTCCACATGTGGACACAGATGATGCCCCCGCTTGCATATCATATAGTTATAAAGGGACATAACTGAAGAACGGTAAAAGTGACGCTACCCAAATTTGAACTTGATCTGAGTTTTGTTAGGCATAAGCATTGTGTGTAAGTCTCAAAACATTTGGTTGAGGCTAACTTAAGTAGAGAACAGAAACTAAAAATTCAGCAATTTTTCTATTTGTAAACACGCATAACTCTAGAACGGTTGTGTATAATTAAGTTTTATAACATTTGATTGGGGGCCTCGGTGGCCGAGTGGTCTAAGTAGTTACTACTGTAATCACTAGCCAGTCAACACTGAGGTTGTGAGTTCGAACCCCGCTCGTGTGGGTGCACTCGACTCCAATCTTAATTGACTAGGATTGTCAGTTTTCCTATCGAAGGTCGGTGGTTTTCTCCGGGCACTCCGGCTTCCTCCACCAATAAAAACTGGCCGCCACGAAATAGCCCAAAAGCGGTACTTAAAAGTGGCGTTAAAACACCAAAAATCAAAAAATCAAATAACATTTGGTTGAGACAAACTAAAGTAAGAGAACGGAAACGAAAAATTCAGCAATTTTTATGTTTATAAAGGGACATAACTCAAGAATGGTAAAAGTGTCGCCACCAAATTTCGTACTTAATCTGTAATATGTAGTAATAAGCATTGTGTATAAGTTTCATAACATTTGGTTGAGGCAAACTAAAGTTGGAAAACGGAAACAAAAAATTTGTACTTGATCTTAGTTTTGTAGTAATGAATATTGTGTATAGGTTTCATAATGTTTGGTTGGGGCAAACTTAAGTTACAGAATGGAAACTAAAAATTTTGCAATCTTTCGATTTATAAAGGGGCATAACTCAATAATGGTTAAAGTGACACTACCAAAATTCAACTTGATCTGTGTTTTATCAGTGGAAGTCAAAATTAAACATTGCATTGTATAAAGCATTGATTGTAGTTGATTCAACTATAATCATGGACAAAGGAAGATAACTCCAAATTTAATCAAAGCATCATCGATGTTGTGATCCAGCCATATTCATAGCTAGTCTGATATTCTTTCTGACCATACTTTTTTCAATATTTTTTTTTCTCTTTTCGTTTCCAATCTTACTGTAATATTTCTATGTTATTGTCCAAAGATAGGGAATTTCGCAATGTTGATATATATATTGATATTCTATCAAGATTTTTTTTTATAAATATTTTAATGGTATTGACAAGAATGGAAAGGGAAATCGTCAAACAAGTAATACATTTTTTTATATGCCTTTAATAATAACTGGCTTAATAATTTCCAGAAAGAGGCCTTGGAAATGCACTCCCAATCTTTCAATTTTGGATGAAATCAAACCATATCATTATTATTTGCTTTTATATATAAATAAAAAATAACCAACTTAAAATGGAAAATTTTAAAGAAAAAAAAAGGAAAAAAAAATCCCCAACCCAATTTTTTGAACCCCCTTATGATTCATCACCCCCAAACTCAATCCCAGCCTTCCCTTTGTGGTATGGTACCTTGCAGTACAATTTCATAGAGATCCATACACTTGAACACAAGTTATTGTCTGGAAACTAGAAAAATGCTTGTTTTTTGGCCCCTTTTTGGCCCCAAATTCCTAAACGTTTACGGCAATTACCCCCAAACTCAAAACCAGCTTTCCCTATGTGATATGGAACCTTGTAGTACAATTTCATAAAGATCCATACACTTACACACAAGTTATTGTCCTGAAACTAGAAAAATGCCTGTTTTTTTGCCCCTTTTTGCCCCCTCATTCCTACAATTTTGAGGCAATTACCCCCAAACTCAATTCCAGCTTTCCCTTTGTGGTATGGTACCTTGCAGTACAATTTCATTAAGATCCATACACTTACACGCAAGTTATTGTCATGAAACTAGAAAAATGATTGTATCACCCCTTTTTTGGCCCCTTATTCCTAAAATTTGGAGGCAATTACCCCCAAAATCAATCCCAGCATTCCCTTTGTGAAATGGAACCTTGTGGTACAATGTCAGAGAGATCCATACACTAACACACAAGTTATGTCTGGAAGTTACAAAAATGCTTATTTTTGGCCCCTAATTCCTTAACTGTTGGTACCATAACCCCCAAAATCAATCCCAACCTTCCTTTTGTGGTATTGAACCTTATGGTAAAATTTCATAGAGATCCATTCACTTAAACTAAAGTTAGAGTGCGAACACCAATGTGTCTTTGGACGACGACGACGACGACGCCAACGTTATACCAATATACGACCGAAATTTTGCTGTAGTATTAAAAGAGTGGGAATCAACTTAGATATATTAATACACATGTTGACCCAAATTTCATTGAACAATAACTTAAACAAGCATAAGATACTAATATAATACTTTCAAAATTCTTATCAACTGATTCAATTGATGTACAAATACTTTTTTCAAATTAATTCATAAATAGTAAATCATTATAAATTTTGATTTACAAAGGAACTATATGCAAGTGTACATCTAAAAGAAAAGGGTTGTTTGACCAATCTTTTCTTAATTTAAGGGCAAATAACATGTCAAAAGTTGGCAGTTGATGATTAAAATGGTGTAGAAAGTTTCTGCAAGTCATAAAAACACATAATTAGTTTCATGATATGTCTTCAACTTAGTATTCTGCACTATCTCCAAAACCAGAGTGATCGCATAGATCCAGCATGGCTGAATCAAAAATTACTTGTTATTTAGAAGAAAATAAAAATTTTGCAATTTTTCCATTTATAAAGGGGTATAACTCTAGAACGGTTAAAGTGACGCCACCAAAATTCAAACTTGATCTGTGTTTTGTGGTAATAAGCATTGTGTATAAGTTTCATAACATTTGGTTGAGGCAAACTTAAGTTAGAGAACGGAAACTAAAAATTTTGCAATTTTTCCATTTATAAAGGAACATAACTCTAGAACGTTTAAAGTGACGCCACCAAAATTCAAATTTGATCTGTATTTTGTGGTAATAAGCATTGTGTATAAGTTTCATAACATTTGGTTGAGGCAAACTCAAGTTAGAGAACAGAAACCAATTTTGGGAAGTACAGACGGATGTACCTAGGTACGTACGTACAGACGGACAAGGGTAAAACTTAATGCCCCGACCGCTACGGCGGGGGCATAATTAACCTCTTAAACGGTGTATGAATTATCTCAAAACTATGGACATCTGTTTGGATTGAACGGTATAAATTTGATTTTTGTTTTGAAAATCATATAGATTTCTTATGATAGACCATTGTATTTATAATTACATTGTTTTAAATTTAAAAAAAATAACATACAGTTATATCATCATATGCATTAATACATTGATATATATATAAAATATTAAGTGAAATTTACTAACGGCTGCTATTCATAACCCATATTGTATGCCGTGTGAAATCTGAGCATTGAAAAGACCTTGGCTATTAAGGTTTGTTAAACAATTTCAACACGTGTATTCTGTAATAAATCTATATTAGCATATGCAAATTACTTACAGGATCCAACATAAAACCATTGACTCCATTTCCTATAGATAAAACAATCATAGTAGCACTTCCATACAGAGCATAACCAGCTGCCACCAGTTCTGTTCCTGGTTTAAGGGCATCAGCTGTGGTCACTGGTTCATCATCTGTCTATAATTAATATCAAATATGAAAAACATGGCCATGAGAGATTGCATATCCTTCCCCACTCTTCCAAATACTGTAGATTCAGATATTATTGTGTGCATTTCTTATTGTGATTTTTGAAGAATGGACAAAATACGAGAATTACCTATTGAGATTTCAGGAAAATCTGCATTTAGATATCAGAATGTGAGTTCTTATTATGGCGATACTTAAGCAGTTGCAATATTTGAATAACAAGAATGTGTCTATAGTACACGGATGCCCCACTTGCACTATCATTTTCTATGTTCAGTGGACTGTGAAATTGGGGTAAAAACTCTAATTTCGCATTACAGTAGTACTTTCTTGCAGTCCTTTTTGTTGTTGTTCAGACTTCTTATTCAATCCATAATTATAACCAAAGTAAACTATACTACATTTTGTGATAACCAACTTCTGTATATTTAGAAATGGTAAAGTCTGTGTTTTGCATTTTGAGACCCAAAATAAGTCTGAAAAATAGAGGTTGATAACAATTAACATTTTGTTTAAATTCTGTCAAGTCTAGTTCCATTCTGATGTAAACTGTTGCATATTTTATGCTGACAAACTTTAAAATGTGTTCATGTATCAATGGTTAAGTTAAATGTTTTGCAAATGTATATGAAAAAATAATGTTTACTTCCATCACATTAAATTTGTATTATGCTGAAACCTTACCTTCCTGTAGACTCCAAATATAGATCCTATGGAAACCAAACAGTCAATGTTTGATGAACCATCTAATGGATCAAAACATACAATGTATTTTCCCTGGAAAAATTTATTCATTGAAAATTTAATTACAATACTTTTGAATTAAGACAGTTGTCATTTGGAAAAGATTTACAATTTATTGTTGATATCAATAAAAATATTTATGATAAGAAATAAATTAAACAAAAACCTCAACATAAATTCCTTACAAATCTGAAAATATTCAATATATTGCAATCTAGAATATTTCATCAAACCAAATAAAGGTTCTGATAAATACATTTACTGCTTTACTTTTCTAAGACATTGTATCTGTGAACATGTATATATATGACATGTGTATAAAGATTTGCACATGTATACAAACATGTATATAGTATTCCTGCAACACATTAACGAGACAGGCTTTTTTACTTTTATCCAGATAATAATTTTATTTGCTAATTTTCTTTTCTTGACCATACCTGTTTCTCTGGTTCCACTACAATAGTTGTATCGTTTTCCTCTGACACTAACAAACTGGTTAAATATGAAGATTTTAACATATTAATGAACAGATCATTAGCTAAGACATCCAACTTCTTTTGTTCATCCCCTGATGTGTTTGCTACTCCAGAGATTCCAAACCTGAAAAAAATCAAATAATACAATAAACACTGCTTATACTTATATTGTAACTGTAATTAAGCTCAATCTTTGAAATGAAAAATACCTTATATTAAACCAAAGTGATCAACTACAGCTTTTTATGTGTTACTTATCAACATCTATTACATTTTTGTTTTTTTGTGTTGTTAGGTTGCTCCATTTCTCATTTTTTTTTTACTGATGTGTACTACCCCAAATTTCAATTTCTCTCATTCATAGTTAAATTCCTTAATTCATTCACATACATTTATCAAAGATGATCATGGAAAAATGTGCTTCTTTAGATAAAATTTCGAAATTATTTTACAGTAAAATTCAGCTGGAATAATACTTCTTTGACTGTGATAATGTGTGCAGGGTTCTTTCCTCGTGTGTGTGAGGATGAATAAGCCATCTTCATGCCTCATTATGTAAGGATGGCCATCATTATTTTGCACCAACAGCTAAACTTTGTATTTGTCAATAATGTACCAAATAATAAAGATAAATGGTATACATTTCATCAACAGTCATAAACCCATCAGTTTTAATGATGAAATTTTTGCACAGGTAAAGTAGTCCAAGCCAACAGTCTGGGCTTGAACTACTTCCAATTTGAGAGGAGAGGCCTTCCTTAGCTGCATTGATGAACAAATTTAATACATGAATGCCTCACTGTTAATTGGGTCAATATACGTAATGGGCCTCAAAATGAGGAACACAAAAGTAGTGTTTTAACAAAAATCTCTTTGCAGTGATATTGGACATGTTTCAATTTTTAACAAAGTGACTGAACTTAACCATTTGTGCAGATTTAGAGAGCAAAAGACCACAGAATAAATTTGTAAAAACTATGGAGTTATAAAATGTATGCAAAGAACAAAATCTCGAGGTAAAATCTCTTTTTTTATACAGAAAAAAGAATATAATATATTTTAAGGGAAGGAAGGATATATACATGTATTTATATTTGCTTGATAATATAAACTATAAATTAGATTTTACGTCTACCATTCAATTTGCTTGATGGTATAAACTATAAATTAGATTTTAGCAGACAAGTCCAAATACTTGTACATTTGCTTGATGAATGACATATTTGTTGCAACCTTTATAACTAACTTTTAATAGCCAATTATTTCACAATCAAAACACTGCAAATGGGATATATTTTTATAGTACACTTGTTTCCAATCCTTTGCATGATGTGAAAGGGTATTTGTAATATGATAGTCCATAAAAAAAAATTCAGCAATTTTTCCATTTGTAAAGGGGCATACCTCTAGAATGGTTAAAGTGACGCCACCAAAATTCAAACTTGATCTGTGTTTTGTGGTATTAAGCATTGTGTACAAGTTTCATAACATTTGATTGAGGCAATCTAAAGTTAGAGAATGGAAACCAACTTTGGGACGTACGTAATGACGGACGTACGTATAGACGTACAGACGGACAAGTGTAAAACTTAATGCTCCCTCTGCTACGGCGGGGGGCATCAAAATAAAACTTTGAAAGTGCTACATACCTTAAAAATTATTCCTTTTTAGTCGAAAATATACAAAATGAGCTTATGTCTTAACTAAATTCCCAAAAATGTGTCAACTGGTTTTTATGTTCAATTAGACTGAATTTTACATAGCTTTACCAAACAATACATGGTAAAATTCAGTGAAATGAATTTTAAATTAAGGAAGAAACCAATCAGCATACTTCATCTGTTTTTGCATGTGGGTGTTCATACGTTGTACTGGTTGAAATTGTTAGAAATATTTACATGCTTTATAATTTTTATGTGAAAAACAATATCAATACAATTTTCAACTAACTTCGTGAAAATAAAATCATTATCTTGGCCTGCAAGTGCATCACATAATCATTTTTCAAGGTGACTGATTTAAGGGTATATTTCTAGCGATATTGAAGAATACAAATGAATGAAAAAGCACAACGTGATGATATATCACTTAATGGAAATTTAATTTAGTTTCCGTAGTTTTTTTGTCTTTGGTGCCTTGAAAAAATATCTGATTTATGGTAATAAACACTTGACTTGGATATATTATCATTGGAATATTACATTATCCAGTTTTACTTTAAAAAAAATTAAATTCTTTATATTTTTGTAACTCTTTATACAGTAATGTTAGTTATCTTCAATAAGTTTGACATAAGTTAACCAAGGATTTTTAAAACTGACTATCAAAATCCGTGAATTAACACACATTGACATTTGTGCAATATGAAAAGGATATGGGAATGATATCCTGATTAAAATCCGGATCATTTTAATCTTATCACATGTGCACTGCATGACATTTGTTAAATGACATAGTAAATAAAAGAGAAAATATAAAGATTGTCAAATTAATATAAACATGTGTTTAATTTTCACAGATGATCTTATGTAGAAACTTACAGTCTGTGTATTCCTGCTTTTCGTACGGCTGATGACACGGCTTTCACTGCAGTTTGGATAAAGTTCATAAGAGCTGTAAAATCTCCAGTTGCATGGGGATGTTTCTTCTGTTCAGCCAAAATGAACCTAGTTAATGTCAAAGGTTCAACATCAATCGCTTGACCAGACGAATTGCTCATCTTGACAATTTCTATTCAGCTTGACTGTGTACAATAGTTTTGAGACTGCGTTGTGTTTTTACCAGAACGGCCTTGACCGGATGATTGACGAATGTTATGTTTTGATTCGTTAAAAATGACACACCTCCATGGACTGTTCTAAATGCGGAACACATCCGGCCTTGAACTCAAAATAGTTTATGATAACGGACTGGACTTTGAGGGAAAACGGTACTATTACATTTTCCTAGCATTAGGTTGGCCTTTTGTGTACCCAAGGCAGGTGAAGGAAGTCAGCTTAGGAGCGCTGTGATTAGATGTAAGGGTACAATATATTTTTTTATTTATCTATGAATAACTGCAGTGTGTATATTTACAATATAAATTTTGAAACCCCTTGAAATATTTTCTAGAGAATTATTCGAAAAGACTTCCAAAATTTCATAAATTTAATGTAAAATGACGGTGGGCATGGATAACATAAACAAGCTCCGTTGGAAGTTGGTCATGATACTATTTGGCTGCAATTTTTAAAACAGAGTAATAAAGTACTAACACCACACATAACTGTTTTGTCCAGGTTTTTATTATAAAAAGGGGTAAATTTAGAAAGCGTTAGTATTGTCGACTATGGCAGAATAAATAGTACCGTTTTCCCTATACTGAAGATAGCAAGGGACATCAAAATCAATCAGACTTCAGTTATATTACACTATTTTGAAGCTTTTGATTAATACGTTTGATTTTTATCACCAAGAATAGAAATTTTTCACTGAGACCAATACTGTGTTGAGAAAAGTGCTGAGTCATCATAATAAGTCAAATTGATGGGTAATGATATAAAACTTCATTCTAGGATTTCAATATTAACTATATTGTATAAAATGCACCTAACTCTAGTTCTTTTGTATTTGTTTTCACCTTTCGCAATGATTAATTCAATTGGAAACACCAGAATTCAAGTCGCGACAAATATTTTTAACTGAAATATTTGCCTTTTTTGCTTTGTAATTCCCTAAATGTATCCCTTGGGTATTTCTCAAGACATAATCTATTAAATTGGGAAATTGTCTGGTTAAGTTTGTACTGTTTATGGAGTAAGGCAATATTTGGTCACAAAAGAAGCATTTTCAGTATAAAATTTGTCCATCTAAGAAAAAAAGAGGCCCAATTGAGGCTAAATTTAGGTAGATTTTATATTCTCCTGTGTAAAGAATTGATCACATTCTTGGCAATTCATGCAGCAAATGTTTGAATAGTGCTTCATTTTGTAGTTTCTATCTTTTATTATATCAAGCATATATAATTTTTCATTTTCTACTGTTTGAAAAGACTTTTGTTGGAAATGAATACTCCCAAGGGACATAATTCAGCTTTTTCATAGACTGATACAGGCAAGAAAGGCAACTTTACAGCTGAGTATTTTGCATATTTAATGTTATAAGTGTCTAATATCTTTGTTTTTATCAGCCCAAGACAGAATAATGGATTTTATAACAAGTTCTGAAATTTAGAACCACAATATGGCATATACTAAAGCATGGAATGGAGATTAGTATGAAAAATCTTGAATTTGTGCTTATGTTGTAAATTTTGGATAAATGGAATACAAATTGAATGGAATTGTCATTTTTATCTGTTTGAATGGTACTGTTTATTATTCTTTTTAAATAAGATAAGATATGATTGGATACAGGTTGTTTATTAAGCCTTATCTGAAAGAAGTACAGAAAGAGGTAAACCAGCATATAGGGGTGGGGACATGAAATGGTCCATGTTTCTTTAGGTAATGGGGACATACAAGAATTTATTATAGCCAAGGTTTTCACAATAACCCAGTATAGCATTAATGGTGTCATAAGAATTCTTTATATCCTTATGTCACAGTATAGGGAAAACGGTACTATTACATTTTCCTAGCATTAGGTTGGCCTTTTGTGTACCCAAGGCAGGTGAAGGAAGTCAGGTTAGGAGCGCTGTGATTGGATGTAAGGGTACAATATATTTTTTTTATTTATCTATGAATAACTGCAGTGTGTATATTTACAATATAAATTTTGAAACCCATTGAAATATTTTCTAGAGAATTATTCGAAAAGACTTCCAAAATTTCATAAATTTAATGTAAAATGACGGTGGGCATGGATAACATAAACAAGCTCCGTTGGAAGTTGGTCATGATACTATTTGGCTGCAATTTTTAAAACAGAGTAATAAAGTACTAACACCACACATAACTGTTTTGTCCAGGTTTTTATTATAAAAAGGGGTAAATTTAGAAAGCGTTAGTATTGTCGACTATGGCAGAATAAATAGTACCGTTTTCCCTTTGAACATCCCCGTATTTACTCACGGTAGGTATAGTGTCCGGCGTGGATCGTTGTTTTCGAGTGAATCTGTCCATTTTTTTCGAGTGTAAATCGGGCTTTTTCGACTGATAAAACATGCGATCAGGTCAATTAATTACTATATAATTCGTAATTATAGTAGTTTTTTACGTGACTACCCATCTTATTTTGAATACTATACATGTTTTGAGTAACAAAGAAGCACAATTTCCTTGTATTTAACCATTAAATTCAGTGTTTGGTATTGTCCGGGCTTTTTCGAGAGGAACTGTGAAACCGTCCGGGTTTTTAAACAAATGGTCCGCGTTTTTTAACGAAAATTTTAATAAGAAAAAAGTTATTTCTGACTTTAAAAAATTACTTTTCAAGTATATAAATGTAATTTAATGAATGAAAGCAAGGATTTGTATAGTGAGAATATACAAATCCTTGATGAAAGTATCATATATTCTCAATAAATCACCAAAACATATAACTACGTTGATCAAAATTAACCTTTTTCAATTTAATGCAATTTTTCTGTTCGGAAAACGTTCTATCACAACTTTCCAGTGTTAAATTAGAAATTATTGGATCCTTTATAAAAAGGTCTTAAGAACATAGTGCAGAAGACTCATAATCTTTTCAACTTCATTTTATGGTATTTTTGTTGTCACAGTTATTAATATTTTTCGTGGTGAACCCCGGAGTTTTTATACGGAACGTATTATGGTATACCGTTGTCCGTCCGTCGTCAGCATGTCGGACAAAACTCAAAAACGCTGTAACCAATTTACATGAAACTTCGTTGATTTTTTTTTTCTATTGAGTTATCCTCCCTTTCGAATTTTATAAATTTCAGATTTTACGTTTTCGAGTTATAGGATTTTATTTAACAAACTAGAGGCTCTAAAGAGCCTGTGTCGCTCACCTTGGTCTATGTGCTGCAGTGCATATTAAACAATGGACACTCTTCTACATTAAAGACAAGAATATAATTCATGACAAAATTCTGTGTTTTGGTGATGGTGACTTGTTTGTAGATCTTACTTTACTGCACATTCTTTCTGTTTACAGTTATCTCTATCTATAATGAACTTGTTCCATAATTATTAGAGGAGAAGATTTCTGTAAAAAATGTTTGCGTTGCACATGATCCGCTATCTTTAACATTAAAATACAGTTATTAAGCTGCTCAGATTGTGATCTGTTCAACAGCAATTAAAACTCTAGACGTATATATCTGAGCATCACGGGACGACACAATGTAAAGTTAACGGACGACGACGGACAACGACGGACGCCAAGTGATGAGAAAAGTTCACTTGACCCTTTAGGGCCAGGTGAGCTAAAAAGGGGTGATTTTACAGTTTTCGGACAATATTTTTAAAGTGCTTTGAGGAGTTTTCATGAAACTTTGGTGACTGCTTTATATAGATTAAGGTTACCTCCCTTTTAGTTTTTTTTTTATAAATTTTTTATATGACATTGAGAAATTATTTATAGGTTTCATAACGAGTGATAATGGATATCGCTTGATATCAACTCGAGTTATTTAATATCAATATAATATTAAACGATGCTCCGGCGAGTTTGATATCAAGCGTATCATGCGCCCATGGCGCAGCTGTTTATTAAAAAACGGAGTAAGAAACCTACTGGACAGCAGAGAAGAATCAGAAAAATGCATTTGTTTTTGTTAGATGTATTTCTATTTGTATCCATCTGATGAGTTAAGCCTTTTTCAGCTGATTTTTATAGTTCGTTCTTATGTTGTACTGTTACACCACTGTCCCAGGTTAGCAGGGGCGTAGTCGGCCTAAAATAAAGTGCAAGCATAAGTCTTGTATCGCCGAGCGGAGCGATGCGAAAAATATTTTGGGACCTTTTTATGCAGAAAATGATAATTTTTCGGTCATTTTCCAGGTATGCCATGCTTATGAAATTCACATTACTCCTTATTAACATGGTTGTTTTCAAATATAAAATAAATTTTATAAAACGGGAAGATCAGTCGACAAGTCAACCGAAGCGTTTATCAATAGAAGGGCAATCAATGGACACATGACCAACCCGGGAACAGATAAGACACAAAAGAACAAACAAAAACATTCAATATTGAAAACTAAATACAGATAAAAAAAAACACGAACCCCGAAAAAAAATGTGGCGACCTCCAGTGCTCCGGAAGGGTTAGCAGGTCCTGCTTCTTGCAAGACACCCGACCGTAGCGTTTCTCACTAAGGTCATTTTCGAATCAAAGGAGCCTGAGGTTTCTACGACAACGGTAGAAGGTCACTTGGGACACAGATACCCAAGGTGAATTAATAGTCTTTTGGACGAACGGACAATGGGAATACGAAATCAAACGGCGACTTTTAAGTCTTGACTTATAAGTGAGGGATATAAATCTTAGATGTTTTCAAGGTTATTGTATTGAGCCTGTATTATTAAATGTTAATACTCATGTAAGACTTTAAGTAAAGTTAATATCCAAAGTCCATATATCTATTTTTTGCCAAGGCAAAAGATTGCAGAACTCTCTCGGTGTCGATATTCATTTCTCTGTGAACATGTATGAGCGCCAACGAAGATAGTCTGTCCTATACCATGGTTGAACGGGGATAAGTTTTAAGTCGCCGTAATGCACTAAATGACCGTTCAGTTGTTGATGTAGTTACTGGCATTGTAACTAAGATTGACACGATTGCAAACTATTGAAGGATATAGTTTCTTTTTAGTCACTGCTAGAGACGACATCAGAGATTTGGGCTACTCCATAA